AGTAGTACTACTTTTAATGCTGCTACAAATTCATAAATAATAACTATATCAAATTATATTGGTCAATTATATTGGTAAGGTAGAGCATTTGAATGCATCCCATATCTTAAAAATGTTAAATAAACATTTTTGGAAAATCATCAATTTTTACTTGAAGCTATACCAACTAATTTATTACCATTAAAAGTGACTGATGGATCCAATTATATTGCTACAGCATTCTCTTCAAGTAAATTTACTGCAAATAGTGCATTAATTTAATTAAATAATGTAAATATCAATTATTAAACAGCTTCTATATAATATGATAGTAATGGATTTTCATATTTTACTGTTTAATTTCCAGAAATATTAGTATTTGGATTACAAATGTAAACATAATTTACATTCAATCAATTTACTATTTAACATTTTATTACTAGTGGATATTAAATTAATAATTAATAACTTACTTATTCAAGTAATTATGGTTAATTTATTGGATATATGGTTGATATTTATGGTACAACATCTGTTAAGACATTAATATTTGGTTATAATTAAGGACATACATTCAATGTAGTTTAAGATGCTAATAATGTTTTGATAACAGTGAGTGGAGCTAATGTATAATAAATTAATTTTGCAATTATGGCCTTTGATGATACTATAATAAATAATTCATATCAAACCATTTTTGAATAATACATTTAATTGTTAATATTATCAATTGAATTATCTACTAGAACACCTTTACGATTTATAAATCAATATTGGAAGTTGTATCCTTTATCAATTACTGGGACATTTGAAGCATTAACTGAATAAATAGGAGGGTATTATATAAATACAGGAACAAATGCAATAAATAGTAAATATCCTTTTGATGTTTCACATAAGATTAGCACAAATCTCAAATAAAATATTATATATACTAATGGATATTTAGTAAATGGAGATTCTGCCTTTGGTAAATTAACTAAATACTTTACATAAGCTAATGATAAATTTATTTTAGGAGCATAATTAAACAATATTCAATACATATCAATTTCAATTACTTCAACAGATACATTTGTGTCTTGTTCATAATCAGAATATATATATTATGATATATATGCATATATAAGTTAGTGTAAGAGGACTGAATTCTAAATATATTAAATATTTATTATAAATTTGAATGAATATGATAGCTCTATTGCATTATAACAAAGTAGTACTGAAGTGAAGATAGCCAATATTTAAAAAGTCAGATAATTGTATTATTTAATGGTAGTATCTAAAAGTTCTAATAATTTGAATACTAATGCAATAATATAGGATATCTATTAAGGAATATTAAAATCGACTGGATTTTTTGGCTTTGATTTTTAGTGTTTGACTTACAATGATGATCTATAATGTGATACATATAGAAATGGATATAAGACATCTATGAGCAATGAATTTGATGNAATAACTATATCAAATTATATTGGTCAATTATATTGGTAAGGTAGAGCATTTGAATGCATCCCATATCTTAAAAATGTTAAATAAACATTTTTGGAAAATCATCAATTTTTACTTGAAGCTATACCAACTAATTTATTACCATTAAAAGTGACTGATGGATCCAATTATATTGCTACAGCATTCTCTTCAAGTAAATTTACTGCAAATAGTGCATTAATTTAATTAAATAATGTAAATATCAATTATTAAACAGCTTCTATATAATATGATAGTAATGGATTTTCATATTTTACTGTTTAATTTCCAGAAATATTAGTATTTGGATTACAAATGTAAACATAATTTACATTCAATCAATTTACTATTTAACATTTTATTACTAGTGGATATTAAATTAATAATTAATAACTTACTTATTCAAGTAATTATGGTTAATTTATTGGATATATGGTTGATATTTATGGTACAACATCTGTTAAGACATTAATATTTGGTTATAATTAAGGACATACATTCAATGTAGTTTAAGATGCTAATAATGTTTTGATAACAGTGAGTGGAGCTAATGTATAATAAATTAATTTTGCAATTATGGCCTTTGATGATACTATAATAAATAATTCATATCAAACCATTTTTGAATAATACATTTAATTGTTAATATTATCAATTGAATTATCTACTAGAACACCTTTACGATTTATAAATCAATATTGGAAGTTGTATCCTTTATCAATTACTGGGACATTTGAAGCATTAACTGAATAAATAGGAGGGTATTATATAAATACAGGAACAAATGCAATAAATAGTAAATATCCTTTTGATGTTTCACATAAGATTAGCACAAATCTCAAATAAAATATTATATATACTAATGGATATTTAGTAAATGGAGATTCTGCCTTTGGTAAATTAACTAAATACTTTACATAAGCTAATGATAAATTTATTTTAGGAGCATAATTAAACAATATTCAATACATATCAATTTCAATTACTTCAACAGATACATTTGTGTCTTGTTCATAATCAGAATATATATATTATGATATATATGCATATATAAGTTAGTGTAAGAGGACTGAATTCTAAATATATTAAATATTTATTATAAATTTGAATGAATATGATAGCTCTATTGCATTATAACAAAGTAGTACTGAAGTGAAGATAGCCAATATTTAAAAAGTCAGATAATTGTATTATTTAATGGTAGTATCTAAAAGTTCTAATAATTTGAATACTAATGCAATAATATAGGATATCTATTAAGGAATATTAAAATCGACTGGATTTTTTGGCTTTGATTTTTAGTGTTTGACTTACAATGATGATCTATAATGTGATACATATAGAAATGGATATAAGACATCTATGAGCAATGAATTTGATGCATCATAAAATTTAGTTAATGATGTGTAGAATATGAATGGAAAGAAGTGTAATTACTTTAATTTTGATAATGCTGTTACTATTCTCAAAAATTATAAAAATACATTAGATACTTTGATAAATAATTAGATTTAAAGTTTCATTTTACCAATTTTATCAGATAATTATTATCAATATGATGCATTAATTATAGGTAAATTAACTTCGTCTTCACAACCTACCACTTATATCGATGTACCTCAATAAAGTGCAAGTGAAGTTTAAAAAACTACTCCATAATTTTTTGGAGCATAATCTCAACTTTATTAGTTTACAAATAATGCTGTATCTTTGACACTTATTGAAACTAGAATCGACGAGATAATTATTTTTAATAAGCTTATTCCGAGTAATAATGGAAAATTAGATGTTTCAACATCATTCTTTAGTGATTATGGAATTGTATTTTAATCAATTTGCTACACTACTTATGATTCTTAAATATTTCCAAATACATATGAATGTTTTATTAGACCTTTAAATACAAAGTTTGATTAAATCAACACAATTATCACACCTCCACTTAAAGACTTAACTTACAAAATACAACAATAAGATAACATATTTATAATTTATTTGGTTTTTGCAGATTTTGGAACTGCCCCATAAACAAGTTAAGTTATTTAATAAATCAGTCAGTAGGTTTATTCTTAAATATTGAATTCAGTATAAAATGATCAATGTAAATGTTGGGGTAGATATAGATAAAAGGAAAATAATTGTAGATGCTAAGATGGATATTATCCACCAGCAGATACATCATTTGGATTACTTGATTGCTAACCTTGTGATTACAAATGTCTAACGTGTTAATTTACTAAAACATAATGTATAAGTTGCCCATTGAATTCAAATAGAGTATTAGACTTGGTTTCTTATACTTGTGAATGCAAATAAGGTTATTTGGAATTAGGAGTTATTTTATGTAGTCCATGTCACTATTCTTGTGGAAAATGTAATGCATTACCTCAAAAATGTACTGAATGTGACATTCTACATCATAGGACTTGGGATAATGTAAATTTTCTATGTTATTGTAATGATGGATATTATGATGATGGAAGCAATTCAATTTGTGCAAAATGTGATCATAGTTGTAGTAAATGTAATTAAGCAGGAAAGATCTGTTAAGCTTGTGTTTTATCTGTATTTAGAACTCAATAGGCAGATAATACATGTCCATGTGATGCTGGATATTATGATGATGGTGCTAATTCTTTATGTTAACCTTGTGATTATACTTGTTATACATGTGTAGATACTCCAACTAAATGCACTGATTGTAAAGTAAACTCGCATAGATGGTTATCTAATAATGAGTGTATTTGTGATACTCATTATTATCATGTAAATCTACTTTGGGATTGTTAACAATGTTCAATTTATTGTAAAAATTGTACTGGGCCTGCAAGAACAGAGTGCAACGATTGCTAAGCTATTTAGAATAGAGAATTAATTGTTACAAGTTGTGAGTGTTTAGCTGGATATTTTAAAGATTCCTTAGATTCTATAATATGCCCATAATGCGATTACTAATGTAAAACTTGCAAGGTGATGAGCAATTAATGTTAATCTTGTGAACCAACATATAATAGATTATTTGATTCTTTTAATAAGAAATGTTATTGCAAAGATGGATATTTTGATGATGGTACAAATGCATAATGTTAAACATGTTCATACAGATGCAGAACTTGTGTTGGTAATTTAGATAAATGTTTGAGTTGTCCATTAAATACTAATAGAAAATATGATTCTACAAAAAATACTTGTAAGTGTTAGTCATCATTTTCTGATATTGGTGTTCCTGTTTGTATGAAATGTCATGCAAGTTGTTAAGAATGTTAAACTTTAGCCACATTTTGTCTTTAATGCAACACAAATAAAACATTTAGAATAGACAACAGCAGCATTAATAACACTTGTCCTTGTTAAGATGGCTATTATGATGATGGAATGAATACTGTATGTAAATTATGCCATCCTTAATGTGATACTTGCTCTCAATTTTAAGTATGCACTTCATGTAATGTAACATATGGACGAGTGGATAAAAGTGCTATAGATAATACATGTCCATGTAATGATGGATTCTATGATGACAATCTTAATAAATAATGTTAGACTTGTCATTATACTTGCAAGACTTGCATAGAAAAAAACACAAAATGTGTAACATGTAATACTATTGGAACATAGAGATAAAATGCCACAGATTCATGTCCTTGCAATGTAGGATATTATGATAATGGCAATTTAATATGTGAGATTTGTCATTATAAATGTGCAACTTGTTCATAATAAAGTACATATTGTACTTCTTGTCCTTTAAGTAGATAAGGTACAAATTGTGATTGTAAAATTGGATATATAGAAAATGGAGTTAAAGAATGTACAGCCTGTTATTTTAAATGTGGACTTTGTACACTTAGTGATTTGAATACTTGTTTAGCTTGTAATTTAAATCGAATCAATTTACCTATTTGCGATTGTGATTCTGGTTATTATGAATTAAATAATGAATGCTTACCTTGCCCTAATAAATGCTTATCATGTGATTCCACAAAAACTTGTTAACTTTGCAAAGGGGATAGACTTAATAATCCAGTTTGTTATTGTCCTGATGGTTATTATGAAGATGAGATTTCTATTAATTGTAAAGTCTGTTTTGGAAATTGCTCTACATGCAACAAAGACAGTTGTCTAACATGTAAAGGAAATAGAATTTTAGAGCCCTTACAATGTTCATGTCCTCAAAATTCAATAAGTCATATAGAAACACCTTTTTGTTCAGATTGTGATGTAGCTGTAATCTCTGCTTAATTTAGCAGTGATTTAAGTATAATTTATTTTACATTTCCATTCAATGTACAATTTGTATCAATTAAGAAAGTCACTCCTTATTCAGCTTGCTCCTAAATATTTCCTCCAAGTACATATTCAACATTAGGTCCTTCTCCTTTATGTTCAATAATTTAAGAAAACATTTTAATAGTAGAATTATCTGAACAAAGTAGTATAACTGTAAGCACAACCATATAATTTAACTCTGATATATTATTAAAAACAGGATGCAGCTCTGCAATATCTTCTTTTATTTTGATTAATTTCTCTTACAATCCTGTGAAAATGGATCCTGTATTTGAATTAACAACCTATAGTGATCCAATTACTCTTTGTTAAGATATACCAATCAATATAATCAATAAATTTGTTGATGGAAGAAGAAATTTTACAGGAATATCTTGGAGTATTGTTAAAATGTATCCATAAACATCATCTGTATCTTTATATTTAACAGGGCTCTTTGCTGAAGCTAATGCAAATAATTATTAATCTATTACAATAGCTCCTCTCTCTTTAAGTGAATATGGCACATATGTAATTCAACTAAAGGCTAAAAATTTTAGAGATTAAGTTTATACTGCACAAACAACAATCTAAACAGAATCATTTGAATCACCAATCATAAAAATTGATCCAGAATAATAATATATATTTGGTAGATGGGAAGATTTATCATTCACAGTTACCCTTAAACATGTATCATGTTATACTGACTCTGTTATTGAAATTTTTGATGCAATAAGAGTTAATTGGACTGAAATAGCTAAGACTCCCCAAGATACTCCTAGTGTGCTTAAGGAATCTGTAATCTCTGAAACTGATGGTATGACTTTTCTCAGCACTTTAAGAATACCAGCATATACAGCAGCAATTAGTTCTACTTACACAATTTAAGTTACAGCGTCACTTACTAATAAACCTATCAAGACATCAATATAATTTACAATAACAATAATTAGTAGTCCTATGTAGGCTTACATTTAAGGTGGAACAAGAACTTAATCTTTTAATGATTATACAATTCTGAATGGGTTTTGTAGGGATCCTGATCTTGATTATCCATGGAACAAAGATCCTGATATAACATTTAATTGGAGATGTATAAATCTAGCCACTAGTGAAAGTTGCACAGATTCAAATAAAGAACCCTTAGAATTAAATGTAACTGATTCTACTCAGACTTTTAAACCTAGAGTCTTAGATCCCTATTAACCACTATAATTTGTTATGAGAAATACTAAAAAGTCAACTATATTAATTACTTAAATTATTTTGTTGGTTATTGAAAATGATTTACCTAATATTTAAGTAAGTTATCCATCAGGATATGATAGTAGATAAATATTATTACATGAGGAACTCAATTTTACTTTAGCAACAACTGTTGATCCTGATTCCTTAAAGTATTTTTGTTAAATTATATACAACTACAATATTGTGGCATCATTTACATTTAAGTTTTTATAAGTTAAATTTCGTATTTGGGACTATTGGGAAGATACTGATCAATCAATTAATGGAATCTAAATTAAAATGGCTGCTAAAGATATTTATCATTATATGCCATCAACTTCATCTGTTAATTTATTATTGAATATACCACCCAGTAATTGTAAATTTACTATAATTCCATCTACTGGAACATCTATAACTGATCTATTTGTTTTGTCAGTTACCAATTGTAATGATGTTTAGCTTCCTTTATAATATCAATTTCATATTTATTCAAGTCAAAAAACATTAGACAATGATAATTTAATAGGAGAAACAATAAATAAAAAGTCAATAACAGATAAATAATAAAGTCCTTAATTATAATTAGTATTACCAACTCCTATAAATCCTGATAGTAGTATAGCTTATGAATTAGTACTTGTAGCTAGTATTTTTGATAATAATAATGGAATGAAGAATCTTACAAAAACAGTTAAAATTAATAGTATTTATTAAAAAGTAGAAACATCAGATTTTTTATCTATTTTATTATAAATTAGAAGAGCACTTAAATTAAGTGATACAATAGATGAATCATCTCTTCCTTCATTATTTATTGGAAGTTAAGAATTATCAACTTTATATAATTAATTATAACCAGAAAAAAAAGCATAAATGAAAAGTATTCTTAAGGATATTTATAATATATTATAATCATTTTAAGGTAAAATGACAAGTAAAGTTTTAGAAGAATCACTTTTATCATCTATAGCAGCTATTGGTAGAACTGGTATTAATTATGAAATGGATGATTCTGATGTTGTTGATTTTTATACAATTAAATAATAAATTAAGAAAACAGTTAAATAATTAAATAGATAAATTAATGAATTAGATTATTTTTTAAAATAAAAATCAAAATCAGGAGGATCAACATCAAAATTTGAAGATGCAATTAAAGCATTAGATAATACATTATTAAATAGTGGTTTTGTAACTGATACTATATTTAATGCAATTAAAAATAATTAATTTTAAGGAGCAGATGTTACAGATGCAGATGTTAATTTATTAAAAGAATAAATATAATAAATCAATAAATTAGTAGCAATTGCTACTTTAAAGAGAAGTTTAGCTAATGAAAAGCCTAGATAATATGCAGGTTAATAAATGGGTATGTAAGCATATAAATCTACACCTGCTTAAATAAATAAAATATTAAGTGGATCTATAACACCAAGATTTTTTGGAGGCAGCTCTTAGGATACGTCAACTAATGGTTTATAAGGAACTGGAAGCGAGGATAATTTAAATTTAGAAGAAGAAGAAGATGAAATAAATTATGATGAATATCTTTCTATTTTAAATGGAACATATAATAAAAATGACACAAATAGTACAAATAGTACAACTAATACAAATAGTACAAATTCAGGAGGTTAAAGAAGACTTCTTTAATTTGTTGATTGGATTTAAAATAAAAATAATGTTGATTATTTAAGAAATTTATAATAAATAGATCCTGTTGCTGTTAAATAATATGAAGTTAGTATGTCTAATTTTGCAACAAGTCCTAATTTAAATGATCCTAAATTTTAAACTTAACTTAAAGTTAATTAAACAAATGAAGTTTCAAACACATCAAATATAACTCGTGATTAATCAATAGTTAGTAATTTTGGTACAATATAACCAAATATCACAATGACAGAAGGTGGTTAAAGTACAGAAATAAAAACACTTGATGGTCAAACTATTAAATTATCATTTCAAGCTCCATAAAATGATAGTGCTAATTCAACTATGGAATGTTTATCTGAGTCTAAAGATACTTGGGAAACTGGTACATGTAAAATAAAGAAAGATGTGGATTCTAAAGGTAATATAGCATATGTTTGTGATTGTGTTGTTGTTAATCCTACAACAGTCATAACAAAATTAGATAGTTTTATTTCAAACAAGCTAAGTTCAGTATTCAATGCTGATTCTTTTGATATCTTTTTACAAATTTAGTTTTGGAAATATGCAATTTTCTATATAGCTATTGGATTTACAGGTGCTTATGTAGCACTCATGGTTATTGGATTAAGAAAGGATAATTAAGATTTTATAGAAGAAATTACTAAGGAATTAGATATTAACACTAATTAAAATACTAATTTGCTCAATTTAAAGAAAGAAATTCATGATATAGTAATAGAAGAGAAAAGTATAGAAGATTCTGCGGAACATGAAAATGAAATAAATCCAGTTATTCAATCTGCCGAATATCCTAAACTAGCTTTACTTAGTTTAAAAGCACCAATGAATGTTTAATTCAAACTAGATGATAAAGGGAATTTAATTGTTCCTGATGAAGAAAATACAGGTTTAAATCAACATGAAATTCAAAGTTTATAAGTCGAAAGAAATAGAAATAAAATAAATTTTAAATAAGTTCAAGATTAATTATAATAACATTAATTATATAATCCTACAACAAATAAATAATCAGGAAGAGCAACAGAATTATCAAAAGTAATAAAAAATGTATATACAATTCATGATTTAAAATATTAACATGGTTAATAAATAAAACTTAAACCATTAACTTTAAAAGTACTTTGGGAAGGAATATTGGTAATATTTTATATATTAATATTAGACTCTTCATAGAGTATTATAAATATTGATGTTATATGATGATATAATAAGTAGACCAGCTAGATTTGCTTTAATATATGCTAAAACTATTTTAGTATTAGCATTATCTGCATTATTTTCAGGTAATATGGGACCTGTTTATGGTACTCTTATATCAGTTGGAATTGGTTAAGTTATTAATGTTATTTTATCTATTATTACAGTTACAATGAAAGCATCACCAATTCTTAAATTTTTAGGTATTTTATTAACAATTGCAATTTCTGCTGTTTGTTGGTTTATTGTATTAATGCTTTCTGCAAGTATGGAAGAAACATAAGTATTTTTTATTATTAATATTATTTTAGGCAAATATGTGGGCAGTTTAATTTGCATCAACATAAGTTATTGATCTAATCATAGTTGAATTCCTTGTTATTTCTCTTAAACTTGCTATCTATCCTTGGGCAATTAAGGCATTAAATAATCCTGAAGAAAGTGCCTCTAAATTTTTAGCCAATTTAGTTTTTATAATTGTTGCCCAACCATAGATTTAGAAGTTTTTTGAGGTGGAAGATAAACACGAAGATAATTTAGAAGCCTGAAATTATTCTTTTTTAAAGTTCTGAATTATCAAATAAAAAAGCCTAAATAAATATTTATATATAAGTAACTAAATTCTATTTTAGTAGAGTATATTTTTTATAATAATTCATATGAATTAGATATTTATAAACATGTTCTCTTAAGAAATTAGTATATTTATTTAAATATATATTTCTAATATCTTCAAATGATTATTTTATTTTGTAACAAATCAAAAAGTCTTACAAGAAATTTTATTTATTGCCCATTTAAATGATTAAGTGACGTCTCCTTCAAACATTAAAATTACTGCTTCTATATAACACAAGATAAAATCATCATATTTTAGCCTATTAGGAGAGGTTTTTACACTAATTTGTAAATAATTAAAGTCAAAATGGACCTAATATTCGNATTCAAAGTTTATAAGTCGAAAGAAATAGAAATAAAATAAATTTTAAATAAGTTCAAGATTAATTATAATAACATTAATTATATAATCCTACAACAAATAAATAATCAGGAAGAGCAACAGAATTATCAAAAGTAATAAAAAATGTATATACAATTCATGATTTAAAATATTAACATGGTTAATAAATAAAACTTAAACCATTAACTTTAAAAGTACTTTGGGAAGGAATATTGGTAATATTTTATATATTAATATTAGACTCTTCATAGAGTATTATAAATATTGATGTTATATGATGATATAATAAGTAGACCAGCTAGATTTGCTTTAATATATGCTAAAACTATTTTAGTATTAGCATTATCTGCATTATTTTCAGGTAATATGGGACCTGTTTATGGTACTCTTATATCAGTTGGAATTGGTTAAGTTATTAATGTTATTTTATCTATTATTACAGTTACAATGAAAGCATCACCAATTCTTAAATTTTTAGGTATTTTATTAACAATTGCAATTTCTGCTGTTTGTTGGTTTATTGTATTAATGCTTTCTGCAAGTATGGAAGAAACATAAGTATTTTTTATTATTAATATTATTTTAGGCAAATATGTGGGCAGTTTAATTTGCATCAACATAAGTTATTGATCTAATCATAGTTGAATTCCTTGTTATTTCTCTTAAACTTGCTATCTATCCTTGGGCAATTAAGGCATTAAATAATCCTGAAGAAAGTGCCTCTAAATTTTTAGCCAATTTAGTTTTTATAATTGTTGCCCAACCATAGATTTAGAAGTTTTTTGAGGTGGAAGATAAACACGAAGATAATTTAGAAGCCTGAAATTATTCTTTTTTAAAGTTCTGAATTATCAAATAAAAAAGCCTAAATAAATATTTATATATAAGTAACTAAATTCTATTTTAGTAGAGTATATTTTTTATAATAATTCATATGAATTAGATATTTATAAACATGTTCTCTTAAGAAATTAGTATATTTATTTAAATATATATTTCTAATATCTTCAAATGATTATTTTATTTTGTAACAAATCAAAAAGTCTTACAAGAAATTTTATTTATTGCCCATTTAAATGATTAAGTGACGTCTCCTTCAAACATTAAAATTACTGCTTCTATATAACACAAGATAAAATCATCATATTTTAGCCTATTAGGAGAGGTTTTTACACTAATTTGTAAATAATTAAAGTCAAAATGGACCTAATATTCGTAAGAAGGGTACACATAGTGCCTAAAATATAACATCAATATCAATCAGCAAAGCATTAATTTCATTTTGGAAGTATAATTAAGTTAGATAGATTTGATATCATAATATTTTTGGGATATAAATAAATATTAAAAGTTAAATTTCTTAATTAAAGAAGAATTTATCAAGATTCTTGATAATTATTTCAATGAATTATGATTATTTCTTATGCTAAATTATTCTATTTTTAATTAAGATAAAGAATATAAAATTATTCTCTATGATCAAATAAAATATAATAAGAACTATAAATATGATTTTATTTTTTAATTATTATTAATAGAAATGGGTGATTAAAGAAATGTCTCATCAGATGATCTGATTTATTTTTTCCAAATAAATTACTTACATTAAATGAGAAGAAAAACAAAACATAAAATCTATCAACCACAAATTTAAGAAACATAAATTATCAAATCAAATACATCTCACATACCACCTTCTATTTTGAGTTCTTAAAATTTAAATAATACTTATACAAAGTATAGTAAACAAAAGCAGGAGAATAATAAATTATAATTTAAAGCTTCTAGTATTTCAACTAAATAGTTAAACTAAATTTTCATAAATAATCGAAATATTATAAGAAGACATAGAGTTTCTTTAATATAAAATTAACCTGACAAGAGTCTAGATTCTTTGATCACTAGAAAAAAAAGTTCTAATTTCACTTTTACAGAAACTAGTTAAAAAAGAATTTTGGGTAGTTTATAAATGTAATTAGAGAAAAGTGTGATTGGCTATAGAAACCAATTAAGATTAATTTAGAAAAAAATCGAATATAAAAAATAAGGCATAATACAATTATTGGAGAGAACTTTAAAAATTTGAATGGATGGCAAATTGAAAATGAATATGATTGTGATTTTTGAGAGAATAGAACAAGTGTAATATTAAGATTTTTGAATTTAAGTATAAATTTGATAATTAAATTGATAGTAATTTAGTATTTCTTTGTTTGTTAATTATTGATTTGATTTGTTTAATTATATTATATATTTATATTATTAATTATTTTTCTTAATGAATTTTTGTCCAGTTTGCTCAAATTTTTTATCTTTAGAGAATGAATCTAGTTCAGGATATAGATTAAAATGCCCTGGATGCATTTATTATTATCCATTAAAAGAAATGAGACTTACTAAAACATTTTAATCTAAAGAGCCTGCTCCTATTACATATCCATAATAAAATAAATAAATTACAGATGAATAATGTGATAAATGTGGATGTCTTAAAGCATTCTTTTGGGAATNAATTCCTTGTTATTTCTCTTAAACTTGCTATCTATCCTTGGGCAATTAAGGCATTAAATAATCCTGAAGAAAGTGCCTCTAAATTTTTAGCCAATTTAGTTTTTATAATTGTTGCCCAACCATAGATTTAGAAGTTTTTTGAGGTGGAAGATAAACACGAAGATAATTTAGAAGCCTGAAATTATTCTTTTTTAAAGTTCTGAATTATCAAATAAAAAAGCCTAAATAAATATTTATATATAAGTAACTAAATTCTATTTTAGTAGAGTATATTTTTTATAATAATTCATATGAATTAGATATTTATAAACATGTTCTCTTAAGAAATTAGTATATTTATTTAAATATATATTTCTAATATCTTCAAATGATTATTTTATTTTGTAACAAATCAAAAAGTCTTACAAGAAATTTTATTTATTGCCCATTTAAATGATTAAGTGACGTCTCCTTCAAACATTAAAATTACTGCTTCTATATAACACAAGATAAAATCATCATATTTTAGCCTATTAGGAGAGGTTTTTACACTAATTTGTAAATAATTAAAGTCAAAATGGACCTAATATTCGTAAGAAGGGTACACATAGTGCCTAAAATATAACATCAATATCAATCAGCAAAGCATTAATTTCATTTTGGAAGTATAATTAAGTTAGATAGATTTGATATCATAATATTTTTGGGATATAAATAAATATTAAAAGTTAAATTTCTTAATTAAAGAAGAATTTATCAAGATTCTTGATAATTATTTCAATGAATTATGATTATTTCTTATGCTAAATTATTCTATTTTTAATTAAGATAAAGAATATAAAATTATTCTCTATGATCAAATAAAATATAATAAGAACTATAAATATGATTTTATTTTTTAATTATTATTAATAGAAATGGGTGATTAAAGAAATGTCTCATCAGATGATCTGATTTATTTTTTCCAAATAAATTACTTACATTAAATGAGAAGAAAAACAAAACATAAAATCTATCAACCACAAATTTAAGAAACATAAATTATCAAATCAAATACATCTCACATACCACCTTCTATTTTGAGTTCTTAAAATTTAAATAATACTTATACAAAGTATAGTAAACAAAAGCAGGAGAATAATAAATTATAATTTAAAGCTTCTAGTATTTCAACTAAATAGTTAAACTAAATTTTCATAAATAATCGAAATATTATAAGAAGACATAGAGTTTCTTTAATATAAAATTAACCTGACAAGAGTCTAGATTCTTTGATCACTAGAAAAAAAAGTTCTAATTTCACTTTTACAGAAACTAGTTAAAAAAGAATTTTGGGTAGTTTATAAATGTAATTAGAGAAAAGTGTGATTGGCTATAGAAACCAATTAAGATTAATTTAGAAAAAAATCGAATATAAAAAATAAGGCATAATACAATTATTGGAGAGAACTTTAAAAATTTGAATGGATGGCAAATTGAAAATGAATATGATTGTGATTTTTGAGAGAATAGAACAAGTGTAATATTAAGATTTTTGAATTTAAGTATAAATTTGATAATTAAATTGATAGTAATTTAGTATTTCTTTGTTTGTTAATTATTGATTTGATTTGTTTAATTATATTATATATTTATATTATTAATTATTTTTCTTAATGAATTTTTGTCCAGTTTGCTCAAATTTTTTATCTTTAGAGAATGAATCTAGTTCAGGATATAGATTAAAATGCCCTGGATGCATTTATTATTATCCATTAAAAGAAATGAGACTTACTAAAACATTTTAATCTAAAGAGCCTGCTCCTATTACATATCCATAATAAAATAAATAAATTACAGATGAATAATGTGATAAATGTGGATGTCTTAAAGCATTCTTTTGGGAATTCTAAACAAGAGGAGCAGATGAATAAAGTACAATATCATTTGAATGCATAAAATGTGGTCATAAGTGGAAGAATGATAGATGAATAATCTAAACATTTTGTATTGTATAATTTGAATATTCTATAATTCATTTCATAATTTTAGATCAACATAAAAGGTTTTGAGAAGATCAATTAGTTTCTTAAAAGTTTTTTACAAATCATCATTTAATAATTCATGATAGAATCCTAGTTAATGAGATTTCTCTATCTCTTTTTCAGCATTTTTCATTCTTTTCTCAATTACTTCTTCTGTCTCTGTTCCTCTTCCAGTTAATCTTTTTCTCAATTCTTCATTTGAAGGAGCATTAATGAAAATATAATTACATTGATTAGGCATAGATTTGTTAATCTTTTCAGCACCTTAAACATCAATCTCAATCACACATACTTATCCTTACTTCATTACTTTTTGTACTTGAGCCAAATGAGTTCCATAATAATTTCCATGTACCTCACAATATTCTAAAAAAGCTTTCTTTTCAATTTCCTTTTAAAATTCTTCTTTACTAACAAAATAGTAATGTTATCCATGAACTTCACCTGGTCTTGGTGCTCTTGTTGTATAGCTAACACTAAATACAAATTATTGTGGATATTATTTAAAAAGCATCTATAACAAAGTGCCCTATTAAGTACAATTAATATTTTAAAATTACTTTTCCAACTCCACTTGCACCTGAAACAACTAAAGGTTTACAAGTCTTTAGATCTTTTTCTTGATTAAAGAAACTAAAGTATTCTTTAGCATATTGATAAACATTATCTGGCTGAAATATTATTATAAAGTTACTTTCTCTAAAATTATCTAACTTGTGAAATCGTTTAATATTTGATTTAATTCTGGATGCTTTTTCAAATATTCTATGTGTTCTTATTTGATTTCATGTTTAATGTGTAGAAAATAAGTTTACAATTCAGAATCAAATTACTACTAATCCATTAATTTTTATATAAATAAATATCTCTAAATAATAATAATAAATTTAGACAAATTATATTAGGTTCTAATTTTATTAAACTTAAATATCGAAAAATATAAACTTATAGCATGTTAGAATACAAATATCAAAAAGATAATCTAATGGAGAATTTCGATAGTTCTAATTTTAAATTGAATTAATTAAATTAAAATAAATTACTGATTATTTGGCTAAAAGATATAAAGAAATGCTTGAAAAATTAAATTCTTTATACTCAAATTGTTTTTTTTCTTAAAATAATTATAGAAATAATCAATGTAAAACTACAAGATTAAAATAAAAAGAATTGATAGAGTCTTTTCAACTATTTTTTAATTTACTATTACTATTAAATAACTTATAGTATTTGTTAATATAAAAATATATGGTATTTATATAATACTATTGAAATAGCCTTTTGGCAGTGTTTACAATAATTTTGAAGATAAATCATAAGCTCTTAATAAATTTAGTTAATAATTGAATAATTATTTAATAACAAGCTTCTTCTTTTCTTAGAGTTTTCTTTATTTATTAACTTTTAACCATATATATCAACTCTTATTTTGATTGGCAAGAACTTTATAGAATACTATTGAATTATGCCATTAAAATTAAAGGAAAAGAATGTTATGATGTAGTTATCTTGGCTATTAAGATTTCATAGAAGAATCTTTTTTGTAAATATTAATGTCATCTAAGAAAAATACATTATATACTAATTTTTTTATATTAAATTTTAATTTTTAAACATTAATTATGGGACTATTTGATATAATAGAAGAAATAATAGATGATGATTTGCTTTTTATTTTAAAGTATGGATTAATAATTTCAAACTTCATCACAATTTTTATTTTGCTATATTTTAAATCCAAAAAATAGCAAAATGAGAAAGATGTAATAATTAATATGTTAGAAAAAGGAAAATACATCTGTTTTGTTAGTCACTGCTCATCCTGATGATGAAGCAATGTTTTTTTTACCTACTATTACTTATTTGAATGACAATAATTATTAAATTCATTTAATATGTTTATCAAATGGAAATGCTAATAAGATAGGAAAAATTAGAGAATCAGAACTAGAAAAGTGTTGTAATTACTTGAAGATAAAAAAAGTATGTTCTTAATTTATATTATTTAGTTAACCATCATAAATGATGAACATTTATAAGATTCAATGACTGCTACGTGGCCCATAGAAAAAATTTAAAATGTTGTTTAAAAGTAATATGAATTATTTAATATAGTTATATAGAAGAGAATAATATAAAGGGAATAATTACATTTGATTAACATGGTGTTTCAGGTCACTTAAATCATATTGCATGTTATAAGGCAATATCTACAATGAAAAGATCAGAAGAGTTAAAGGTATTTTTGTTAGAGACCACTAATATATTAAGAAAGTATAGTTCAATTTTAGATTTCTTTGTCTCTTCTATCCTTAATGATAATCTAATGGTGAATCTAAATATCTTTAAGGCATGGAGATCTATGCAAATTCATCATTCATAATTTGTATGGTATAGAAAGCTGTTTGTTGTGTTTTCGAGATATGCTTATATAAATACGTTGATTAAAATTTGATATTAAATTTCGAGGGTTTATTATTATTTAAATTTTCATGGCACTTATAAATATAACAAATATCATTTTCGATCAAAGTACTGCTCTGTTCAATACTCCAATTTAAATGCAAATCACTTTTGAAGTGTTGAGGCAATTAGATTAAGAATTAGATTGGAAGTATAAAATGATAAAATATTAGACTTATTTACATTGGGTCTCCTAATAATGATAAGTATGATCAAGTATTAGAGTAATTTTCAATGCCTCCTCTTTAATAAGGGACAATGCAGTTTACTTTAATGACTTCTAGTCCCAAATTAGAGTTAATACCAAGTAAAGAAGATTTATTTGGCGCGACAGCAATAATATTAAGTGTAAGATATAGAAACCATGAATTCTTTAGAGTAATTATTAAATGTATAACTATATTATAGGTTGGATATTACGTTTATAATTCGTATTTAGATCCTGATTTAATTGAGAATGATCCTTCTTGTGTTATAATAGATAAAATTTATAGATAAATTAATACTTCAACACCAAGAATTACTAGAACTAATATTGATTGGGATGGATAATTGGTTTAATTGTATGTTAATCCACTTTAATCCAATAATTAGTTTATGTTCTAATAATAACCAATATTTAATGATATTACAAATAATCATTAAGAATTCTAGCAATAATGTTAAGAGAAATAAAATTAACATTAATAAAATAACAAACCAATGTATAATAATACACAAGGAACAAGTTTTTAAAGCATATTTTGATAATTTATATTTTATAATTTCTTATTTTGTATAATAAAGAGGATATTNCTTGAAGATAAAAAAAGTATGTTCTTAATTTATATTATTTAGTTAACCATCATAAATGATGAACATTTATAAGATTCAATGACTGCTACGTGGCCCATAGAAAAAATTTAAAATGTTGTTTAAAAGTAATATGAATTATTTAATATAGTTATATAGAAGAGAATAATATAAAGGGAATAATTACATTTGATTAACATGGTGTTTCAGGTCACTTAAATCATATTGCATGTTATAAGGCAATATCTACAATGAAAAGATCAGAAGAGTTAAAGGTATTTTTGTTAGAGACCACTAATATATTAAGAAAGTATAGTTCAATTTTAGATTTCTTTGTCTCTTCTATCCTTAATGATAATCTAATGGTGAATCTAAATATCTTTAAGGCATGGAGATCTATGCAAATTCATCATTCATAATTTGTATGGTATAGAAAGCTGTTTGTTGTGTTTTCGAGATATGCTTATATAAATACGTTGATTAAAATTTGATATTAAATTTCGAGGGTTTATTATTATTTAAATTTTCATGGCACTTATAAATATAACAAATATCATTTTCGATCAAAGTACTGCTCTGTTCAATACTCCAATTTAAATGCAAATCACTTTTGAAGTGTTGAGGCAATTAGATTAAGAATTAGATTGGAAGTATAAAATGATAAAATATTAGACTTATTTACATTGGGTCTCCTAATAATGATAAGTATGATCAAGTATTAGAGTAATTTTCAATGCCTCCTCTTTAATAAGGGACAATGCAGTTTACTTTAATGACTTCTAGTCCCAAATTAGAGTTAATACCAAGTAAAGAAGATTTATTTGGCGCGACAGCAATAATATTAAGTGTAAGATATAGAAACCATGAATTCTTTAGAGTAATTATTAAATGTATAACTATATTATAGGTTGGATATTACGTTTATAATTCGTATTTAGATCCTGATTTAATTGAGAATGATCCTTCTTGTGTTATAATAGATAAAATTTATAGATAAATTAATACTTCAACACCAAGAATTACTAGAACTAATATTGATTGGGATGGATAATTGGTTTAATTGTATGTTAATCCACTTTAATCCAATAATTAGTTTATGTTCTAATAATAACCAATATTTAATGATATTACAAATAATCATTAAGAATTCTAGCAATAATGTTAAGAGAAATAAAATTAACATTAATAAAATAACAAACCAATGTATAATAATACACAAGGAACAAGTTTTTAAAGCATATTTTGATAATTTATATTTTATAATTTCTTATTTTGTATAATAAAGAGGATATTCTCATAAAAATATTATTTATGATTTGATTTTAAAATCTCTTATAAATATAATTATATGATTATTATTTAATAAGAGATAAAAATAAATTAATAATAAAATGAGATCCTATAATTTATGTTAATTCTTAACAATTATAATCATTAATAGGAATCATAATTATTTAATAATAAACCTTTGAATGATATATGATATTAAAGTCTCTTAATTAGAATTTGATAGAATGATAATTTCATCTTTTTCTTATAATCCAAACTCTTCGCCACATCCTACATATATTCTTTAGTTTTAATCTCTTATTATATTTATTCCATTTTATCCATTAACAATTAAATATAATCTTAATATCTGTGTTTTATTATCTTATTCTTAGTCTAATACTTTATGAAGAGGAGTATCAAACTATGTTTCCAAACGCTATGATTTTTTCTTTATAAATTAATTTTATTAAATATTTCTTAATTCTAAAGTACAGTGCTACTTTTTTGAAATAGTATAAATTTGGGCATCTTTTTTTATTTATTACAATTTCATAAATTCCTTTCTTGAAAAATTGTAAACATTTTTGGAATGGTCATTGTCATCAATATGAATCTTAAAAGTATATTCACTTTTTAAATGTCTAGGGTATTAATTAAAGATTTCTTTTATTTCTTTAGGAGCTTTAAGTTTAAGAAATATCGAAACTTCATGCATTGCTTTAATTTAAAAATCATTATTTACATTAGAATGACACTTTTCTTGATAAACTGGGAACTATCACTGTTTTTAAGACTTCATATGATTGTAATTCTAATTAACGAATTTAGGAACTTATTTTATTAAGTTCTTCCAAATGATGTAATAATTCTTTGTAGTGGCTAGTTTTACTATATAAATAACCATTTATTCTTAATGTTATATAAATCAAATATTTTACAAAGTTAAATTGGATGGTAATTATTGGACTAGCTGTTCACTTAAGTGCAAAAGATCTTTGCATTATTTTATAAATTGTTTTTCTTCATTAGTATATAATTCTTCTTATATATTATCGAAGTATTCCACTTAATCCAATGATTAAGTTATATCTAATATAAATTACATTAATTCATTTTGTTTCTTTTCGAATTCATCTTTAGCAGTAAAGAACTGTTACCCTTCTTAAACAAATGATTTTAAAAATGGAACTATGGGAATCATACAATTTAAAGAATTTTTAGAATTTTAATAATTTTAATTCTTATGAAAGTAAAGGATCAACTTGTATCTTAAGGTGTTTTTCAAATAAACTATATGAACTCAATTAGAGTCAATAATCTTAAACGATAATATTATTAATTACTCAAATTGATTCTTATTCTTTAGTAATATAAACTTTTAAATAAAGTAATTGTAAAATAAGAGTATAATTGATCTTTTCCAATCTTTATTTAATATAAAAAGCTTAATCAAATGAGTTAATGAATGATCTATCAGAAATTAAATTTATTCAAAGTTATAGTATTTCAAATTTAACAGTTATTGAATCTATCATATTTTTACAATAAAAGCTAAATCTCTTAAAAAAGTATAGTTTAGAATATTTTTGGATATGAATAAATAATTAAATTGCATTTATATTATAGTTTAAATAGGCTTCAATTGATATATTTGATAAAATTGAATGTTATCTATTTGTGAGTGCAATTTAATATTATATAAATTAATTATAGTGTTGATGTCATATTTTAATTTAGAGTAACATGAAACTAAATCACATTCAGATTACAGTGATTAATTAGAATAGTTAGAATCAAATTAATTTCAGACTATTAGAAGAAATTCTCTTCCTATAATAATAGAGGATGGCTAAAAAAAACTTAAAGAAAAATTCATCCTTTCTCGAATTAATGAATTAGGATTGGATTAAAATAAGGCTTTATATATCTTAGATAATATGGAAGATGATATTATTATGTAAAATGATGAAAATGTAGTTTTACATAGAGTCATATAGACTATTCTTTTGATGGATGTAAATTATATAGTATATAAGATAGTCATTTCCTAAGGCAATATCTAAATAGTAATAAGGACATTATTTTGAATAAATTAAATAGTTGATAGGAAAAACAATTCCCAATCTTTTTAGTTATTTAAACTATCAAAAAAATTACAAAGGAGAATAAGAAAGCTTATTAAGTTTAACTTGCACTATTTGTTTAAATGAATTGAAGAACTAAAATATGAAATTAGATTGTTATCATCAATTTTGTTTGTACTTAATGAAAATAGTATTAGAGATTGCCTGAATAATTATATAGTCGATAAGATTAGTAATGGATAAGTCGAAGAGATTAATTGTCCTTAAATTCAATGTACATTTTAACTAAATGATGACATCATTGGATCTATAATAGATTAAGAAAATATGAATAAATTAAAGAGATTTAGAAAGATCAAAATGGTTTAAAGTGATTAAAATATCATTTGGTGTCCTAGACCTGGTTGTGAAGAGATTATAAGAAAAAAAAGTTAAGAGCAAAAAATTAAATGTATATGTGGATAGTTTATTTGCAATAAATGCAATAGAAAATTTCATATAACCTAATCTTGCAAGGATTAATTAGATTAAGATTTAATGGAGACTGCTAAGAAATTTAAAATATTGAAATGTAATTAATGTAGATCGCTTATTCAAAAAAATGATGGATGTAATCATATAATTTGTTCATAATGTAAATACCAATTTTGTTGGCTTTGCAAATAAAAATATACAATATACCATTTTAAATATTACAATATATTTGGTTGTCCTGGAATGTAATATTCTCATAGAGACCCTTATAAATATCCAAATGTAGTTAGATTTTTAAGATTTTTATTTCTTCTAATATTTGGAGGTCCCATATTTTTGATTGGATTTATAATTGGATTTATTGCTTTAACTTTTATATTGCCTGCTATTTACAATTTGGACTTTTTCCATTCATATGAGTTTTAGAATTATAATTGTTGCAAGAAAACAGCTTATATTTCTTTATAATCGATTACTTGCATATTGTTATCACCATTAAGTTTTGTAATTGTTACAATTTTTCTTGTTATATTTGTCATTTTCTGGATTTGTTACATAATAGATATGCTTTACAGGCGGATAAATAATAAATGAATACTTTCATATAAATATTGTATTAATATTAATAACTTATGCTCTTCTCTCAATAATAGGATTACAATCCTAAAGATATTTACTAACCTTCTTCAATGAGTTATGGTGCTGGAATATTCAAATCTTAGAATCAACAACCTTATTATAATTAATAACCAAGAACTAGAGCAGAAAGAGTATTATGTAATTTAAAAATGTTAGGAGTATTTAAAAGAAGTCAATTCTTAATAAACAGTAATGCAATCAAGATGTAAACTCTTATTTAAAGTTTGAAGAATTCGACACACCTTAAAAAGAAGACATGAAAACACTATTACATAATCCAGCACCAAATACAACTTTATTTTAATAGGGTATTATTAATATAAATCTTGTAGAATAAGAAAGGTTCTTAAAGGATTTTGCGGTTGAAGATAAATAACAAAGGGAATATTAAAATAAATAAAAACAGTTATAATATGAATCAAGAAGAATAGCTAATTTAGAAAGAGAAGGTATGATTTGGCAAAGAAATGAACTTTACCAATAGAAAGTATTTGTTTTCATCATTGTAGGATGAATTAAAAAGATAATATCATTAAGAATAATATACATAAGGCAAAAGAAATTTAAATGGATTAGCATACAATCCTTTAACATTAGAGTATGCTTAAAATGAATAAGGGTAAGCACTAAAAAGACAAGATGATATGACATAAGTGAGATAACTAGTAAGAGCCTAAAATTTAGATCATAGAGCTAACTGTGGTTATAATTTACTTACAGGTATATAATTCTAATTCTATATCAAAAGGTGAGAATCGTAAAGGTGTTGAAGAAATTGTGCCTGATGATCTTAAAGGCCATTATTAAAATAAAATGTAAGAAAGGGATAATCAATTAAATATAAAACACTACGCTTTATAGTAACAATTGTTATCTAAATAATATTGAATTTATTTTTATCCTAAAAATATTTAGTAATTGTCTTTTTAATTAACTAATTACTATTAATCTATCAATTAATATTAATAAAATCATATTGAATATTATTAATAATATTTTATGGATCATATTCTCATGCTTCAAAATTATTATCTTTCTTATCCTCAACCTCAAAGAACTTTGAGATTTAAGGCTAAGCAACTGCTATAAATAGCAAATTGGCAAGTATTTTTGAAGCGTTTGAATCTGGATCGTGTAAGGCTTTAATTGCCCAAGGATAGATAGCAAGTTTAAGAGAAATAACAAGGAATTCTACTATGATTAGATCAATAACTTATGTTGATGCAAATTAAACTGCCCACATATTTGCCTAAAATAATATTAATAATAAAAAATACTTATGTTTCTTCCATACTTGCAGAAAGCATTAATACAATAAACCAACAAACAGCAGAAATTGCAATTGTTAATAAAATACCTAAAAATTTAAGAATTGGTGATGCTTTCATTGTAACTGTAATAATAGATAAAATAACATTAATAACTTAACCAATTCCAACTGATATAAGAGTACCATAAACAGGTCCCATATTACCTGAAAATAATGCAGATAATGCTAATACTAAAATAGTTTTAGCATATATTAAAGCAAATCTAGCTGGTCTACTTATTATATCATCATATAACATCAATATTTATAATACTCTATGAAGAGTCTAATATTAATATATAAAATATTACCAATATTCCTTCCCAAAGTACTTTTAAAGTTAATGGTTTAAGTTTTATTTATTAACCATGTTAATATTTTAAATCATGAATTGTATATACATTTTTTATTACTTTTGATAATTCTGTTGCTCTTCCTGATTATTTATTTGTTGTAGGATTATATAATTAATGTTATTATAATTAATCTTGAACTTATTTAAAATTTATTTTATTTCTATTTCTTTCGACTTATAAACTTTGAATNTATATTCTTTATCTTAATTAAAAATAGAATAATTTAGCATAAGAAATAATCATAATTCATTGAAATAATTATCAAGAATCTTGATAAATTCTTCTTTAATTAAGAAATTTAACTTTTAATATTTATTTATATCCCAAAAATATTATGATATCAAATCTATCTAACTTAATTATACTTCCAAAATGAAATTAATGCTTTGCTGATTGATATTGATGTTATATTTTAGGCACTATGTGTACCCTTCTTACGAATATTAGGTCCATTTTGACTTTAATTATTTACAAATTAGTGTAAAAACCTCTCCTAATAGGCTAAAATATGATGATTTTATCTTGTGTTATATAGAAGCAGTAATTTTAATGTTTGAAGGAGACGTCACTTAATCATTTAAATGGGCAATAAATAAAATTTCTTGTAAGACTTTTTGATTTGTTACAAAATAAAATAATCATTTGAAGATATTAGAAATATATATTTAAATAAATATACTAATTTCTTAAGAGAACATGTTTATAAATATCTAATTCATATGAATTATTATAAAAAATATACTCTACTAAAATAGAATTTAGTTACTTATATATAAATATTTATTTAGGCTTTTTTATTTGATAATTCAGAACTTTAAAAAAGAATAATTTCAGGCTTCTAAATTATCTTCGTGTTTATCTTCCACCTCAAAAAACTTCTAAATCTATGGTTGGGCAACAATTATAAAAACTAAATTGGCTAAAAATTTAGAGGCACTTTCTTCAGGATTATTTAATGCCTTAATTGCCCAAGGATAGATAGCAAGTTTAAGAGAAATAACAAGGAATTCAACTATGATTAGATCAATAACTTATGTTGATGCAAATTAAACTGCCCACATATTTGCCTAAAATAATATTAATAATAAAAAATACTTATGTTTCTTCCATACTTGCAGAAAGCATTAATACAATAAACCAACAAACAGCAGAAATTGCAATTGTTAATAAAATACCTAAAAATTTAAGAATTGGTGATGCTTTCATTGTAACTGTAATAATAGATAAAATAACATTAATAACTTAACCAATTCCAACTGATATAAGAGTACCATAAACAGGTCCCATATTACCTGAAAATAATGCAGATAATGCTAATACTAAAATAGTTTTAGCATATATTAAAGCAAATCTAGCTGGTCTACTTATTATATCATCATATAACATCAATATTTATAATACTCTATGAAGAGTCTAATATTAATATATAAAATATTACCAATATTCCTTCCCAAAGTACTTTTAAAGTTAATGGTTTAAGTTTTATTTATTAACCATGTTAATATTTTAAATCATGAATTGTATATACATTTTTTATTACTTTTGATAATTCTGTTGCTCTTCCTGATTATTTATTTGTTGTAGGATTATATAATTAATGTTATTATAATTAATCTTGAACTTATTTAAAATTTATTTTATTTCTATTTCTTTCGACTTATAAACTTTGAATNAGAAATTTAACTTTTAATATTTATTTATATCCCAAAAATATTATGATATCAAATCTATCTAACTTAATTATACTTCCAAAATGAAATTAATGCTTTGCTGATTGATATTGATGTTATATTTTAGGCACTATGTGTACCCTTCTTACGAATATTAGGTCCATTTTGACTTTAATTATTTACAAATTAGTGTAAAAACCTCTCCTAATAGGCTAAAATATGATGATTTTATCTTGTGTTATATAGAAGCAGTAATTTTAATGTTTGAAGGAGACGTCACTTAATCATTTAAATGGGCAATAAATAAAATTTCTTGTAAGACTTTTTGATTTGTTACAAAATAAAATAATCATTTGAAGATATTAGAAATATATATTTAAATAAATATACTAATTTCTTAAGAGAACATGTTTATAAATATCTAATTCATATGAATTATTATAAAAAATATACTCTACTAAAATAGAATTTAGTTACTTATATATAAATATTTATTTAGGCTTTTTTATTTGATAATTCAGAACTTTAAAAAAGAATAATTTCAGGCTTCTAAATTATCTTCGTGTTTATCTTCCACCTCAAAAAACTTCTAAATCTATGGTTGGGCAACAATTATAAAAACTAAATTGGCTAAAAATTTAGAGGCACTTTCTTCAGGATTATTTAATGCCTTAATTGCCCAAGGATAGATAGCAAGTTTAAGAGAAATAACAAGGAATTCAACTATGATTAGATCAATAACTTATGTTGATGCAAATTAAACTGCCCACATATTTGCCTAAAATAATATTAATAATAAAAAATACTTATGTTTCTTCCATACTTGCAGAAAGCATTAATACAATAAACCAACAAACAGCAGAAATTGCAATTGTTAATAAAATACCTAAAAATTTAAGAATTGGTGATGCTTTCATTGTAACTGTAATAATAGATAAAATAACATTAATAACTTAACCAATTCCAACTGATATAAGAGTACCATAAACAGGTCCCATATTACCTGAAAATAATGCAGATAATGCTAATACTAAAATAGTTTTAGCATATATTAAAGCAAATCTAGCTGGTCTACTTATTATATCATCATATAACATCAATATTTATAATACTCTATGAAGAGTCTAATATTAATATATAAAATATTACCAATATTCCTTCCCAAAGTACTTTTAAAGTTAATGGTTTAAGTTTTATTTATTAACCATGTTAATATTTTAAATCATGAATTGTATATACATTTTTTATTACTTTTGATAATTCTGTTGCTCTTCCTGATTATTTATTTGTTGTAGGATTATATAATTAATGTTATTATAATTAATCTTGAACTTATTTAAAATTTATTTTATTTCTATTTCTTTCGACTTATAAACTTTGAATCTCTCTCTAATTTAGAATATTGACATCCCTCTCTTCAGGAACTATTAAATTACCTTCATCATCTTTTTTTAACTCCAAATCGCTTTAAGCCTTTAAAGTAAATAAAGCTAATTTGTTCATATCTTCTTTCCTCACTACTGGTTTATTATCTTCTTCTACATCCATTGAGTTTTCATTACTCTACTCCACAATTACTAGATCTTTTATTTCTTTTTTCAATTGTTTTATGTTTTCAGGAACGTTTTCATCAGTAAATTATAATTCCTTAGTAATTTCTTCTATAAAATCCTAATTGTCCTTTCTTAATCCAACAACCATGAGTGCTACATAAGCACCTGTAAATCCAATAGCTATATAGAAAATTGCATATTTCCAAAACTAAATTTGTAAAAAGATGTCAAAAGAATCAGCATTGAATACTGTATTTAATTTATTTGAAATAAAACTATCTAATTTTGTTATGACTGTTGTTGGATTAACTACAACACAATCACAAACATATGCTATATTACCTTTAGAATCCACATCTTTCTTTATTTTACATGTACCAGTTTCCCAAGTATCTTTTGCTTCAGAAAAGCATTCCATAGTTGAATTAGCACTATCATTTTATGGAGCTTGAAATGATAATTTAATAGTTTGACCATCAAGTGTTTTTATTTCTGTACTTTAACCATCTTCTGTCATTGTGATATTTGGTTATATTGTACCAAAATTACTAACTATTGATTAATCACGAGTTATATTTGATGTGTTTGAAACTTCATTTGTTTAATTAACTTTAAGCTAAGTTTAAAATTTAGGATCATTTAAATTAGGACTTGTTGCAAAATTAGACATACTAACTTCATATTATTTAACAGCAACAGGATCTATTTATTATAAATTTCTTAAATAATCAACATTATTTTTATTTTAAATCCAATCAACAAATTAAAGAAGTCTTCTTTAACCTCCTGAATTTGTATTATTTGTACTATTTGTATTAGTTGTACTATTTGTACTATTTGTGTCATTTTTATTATATGTTCCATTTAAAATAGAAAGATATTCATCATAATTTATTTCATCTTCTTCTTCTTCTAAATTTAAATTATCATCACTACCAGTTCCTTAAATATCTTAATCTGTTTGAGATTCTGCTCCAAAAAAGAGAGGAACAATCTTATTGCCTAAAACTGAAACAATTTAAGCAGGTGTAGATTTATATGCTTACATACCCATTTATTAACCTGCATATTATCTAGGTTTTTCATTAGCTAAACTTCTTTTTAAAGTAGCAATTGCTACTAATTTATTGATTTATTATATTTATTCTTTTAATAAATTAACATCTGCATCTGTAACATCTGCTCCTTAAAATTAATTATTTTTAATTGCATTAAATATAGTATCAGTTACAAAACCACTATTTAATAAAGTATTATCTAATGCTTTAATAGCATCTTCAAATTTTGATGTTGATCCTCCAGATTTTGATTTTTATTTTAAAAAATAATCTAATTCATTAATTTATCTATTTAATTATTTAACTGTTTTCTTAATTTATTATTTAATTGTATAAAAATCAACAACATCAGAATCATCCATTTCATAATTAATACCAGTTCTACCAATAGCTGCTATAGATGATAAAAGTGATTCTTCTAAAACTTTACTTGTCATTTTACCTTAAAATGATTATAAAATATTATAAATATCTTTAAGAATACTTTTCATTTATGCTTTTTTTTCTGGTTATAATTAATTATATAAAGTTGATAATTCTTAACTTCCAATAAATAATGAAGGAAGGGATGATTCATCTATTGTATCACTTAATTTAAGTGCTCTTCTAATTTATAATAAAATAGATTAAAAATCTGATGTTTCTACTTTTTAATAAATACTATTAATTTTAACTGTTTTTGTAAGATTCTTCATTCCATTATTATTATCAAAAATACTAGCTACAAGTACTAATTCATAAGCTATACTACTATCAGGATTTATAGGAGTTGGTAATACTAATTATAATTAAGGATTTGATTATTTATCTGTTATTGACTTTTTATTTATTGTTTCTCCTATTAAATTATCATTTTCTAATGTTTTTTGACTTGAATAAATATGAAATTGATATTATAAAGGAAGCTAAAAATCATTACAATTGGTAACTGACAAAACAAATAGATCAGTTATAGATGTTCCAGAAGATGGAGTTACTGAAAATCTACAACCTTCAGGAGGAATATTCAATAATAAGTTAACTGAAGTGCTTGAAGGCATGAAATGATAAACATCTTTAGCAGCCATTTTAATTTAGATTCCATTTATTGATTGATCAGTATCTTCCCAATAGTCCCAAATACGGAATTTAACTTATAAAAACTTAAATGTAAATGATGCTACAATATTATAATTGTAAACAATTTAACAAAAATACTTTAAGGAATCAGGATCAACAGTTGTTGCTAAAGTAAAATTAAGTTCCTCATGTAATAATATTTCTCTACTATCATATCCTGATGGATAACTTACTTAAATATTAGGTAAATCATTTTCAATAACCAACAAAATAATTTAAGTAATTAATATAATTGACTTTTTAGTATTTTTCATCATGAATTATAGTGGTTAATAGGGATCTAAGACTCTAGGTTTAAAAGTTTGAGTAGAATCAGTTACATTTAATTCTAAAGGTTCTTTATTTGAATCTGTGCAATTTTAACCAGTAGCCAGATTTATACATCTCCAATTAAATGTTATATCAGGATCTTTGTTCCATGGATAATCAAGATCAGGATCCCTACAGAACCCATTTAAAATTGCATAATCATTAAAAGATTAAGTTCTTGTTCCACCTTAAATGTAAGCCTACATAGGACTACTAATTATTGTTATTGTAAATTATAGCGATGTCTTGATAGGTTTATTAGTTAATGATACTGTCACACATAAGGTATAAGATGATCCAATAACAGCTGTATATGCTGGAATCAATAAAGTATTTAAAAATGTCATTCCATCTGTTTCTGAGATGACTGATTCTTTGAGAATACTTACTGTATCATTTGGTGTTTTTGCAACTTCAGTCCAATTTACTCTTAAAGCATCAAAAACTTCAATTACTTTATCTGAATAACAAGATAGATGTTTTAGCTGGATTGTAAATGATAAATCTTCCCATCTTCCAAAAATAAATTATTAATTAGAATCTAATTTAATAATTGGTGATTCATATGATGCAGTTTAGATGGATGTTTAAGCGGTATAAATTTATCCTCTGAAATTTTTAGCCTTTAATTAAATTACATAAGTTCCATATTCACTTAGAGAAAGAGCAGCAATAGTAATAGACTGATAATTTTTAGCATTCGCTTCTGCTAATAGTTATGATAGATATTAAGCAACTGATTATATTGATGGATTCATATTAACAATAGTCCAAACTACTTCTGTAAAGGCTCTCTTTCCATCCACAATCTTATTGAGAATATTTATTTGAATATCTTAACAGATAGTGATTTAATCACTGTAAGAAGAGAGTTCAAATTGAGGATTCAATTGGACTGGATTGTAAGTAAAGCTTGATAATATAAATTTAGTTAATGTATCACTGCACCCAGTTTTAGTAATAAAGTCCTCTTTGAAATCAATTTAAGAATCAATAGTTATACTACTGCCTTCAGATAATTCAATTTGTAATGTATTGCCTTGAATAATTGTACATAATGGAGACTATCCTAGAGCTTAATAAGTACTAGTTTTAAATGTCATTTAACAAGCTTATGAAGAAGAAAATTTTTTGACAGATGGATATTGTACATTGAATGGAAAAGTGATATAAATAATGCTTAAATCACTTGTGAATTAAGCTGATATGACTGCCACTTGGCAATTTGAACAAAAGGGAATGTTAAGATGACTTATAGAATTTTCAGGACAATCACATTATTTTGGTTATAAGATTCTATTTCCTTAACAAGTCATGCATTTGTCAATATTGCATGTTGCACAAAATCCATAACAGGGTGTACAATTTATTGATATTTCATCTTCATAATAACCGTCTGGACAATTGCAAATAGGATTATTGAGTCTGTCACCTTTACAATTAAAACAAGTAGCAGTAACATCACAAGAAAGACATTAATTAGGACATTTTAAACATTAGTTATCTAATTCATAATAACCAGTTTCACATTCACAAGTAGGAGGATTGGTTCTATTTAAGTTACAAGATAAACATTTATTTAAATCAGCCAAAGTACATGATCCACATTTAAATTAACAAGCAGTACATTCTTTGGATCCACTTTCTATATAACCAATCTTACATGAGCAATCTGAACCTTATCTACTTGTTGGACATGAAGTACATGAAACACTAGTTTATTTACAAGTAAGACATTTAAAATTACAAGGTTGACAAATCATAGTTCCATCATCATAATATCCAACATTGCAAGGACAAGAATCTATAGACTTTGATCTCTATGTTCCAGTAGTATTACATGTAACACATTTTGTATTTTTTTCAATACATGTTTAACAACTATAATTGCATAACTAACATTGTTTATTAATATTATCATCAAAGAATCCATCATTACAAGGACATGTGTTATTAATATTACTTTTATCAATTCTTCCAAAAGAGGTATTACATGAAGTGCAAATAGAAAAACTAGAACAAGTGTTACATTATGGATGACATAATTTACAAACCATATTCATTCCATCATCAAAATAACCAGATTAACAAGGACAAGTATTATCAATCAAACTATTGTCTACTCTGAAGGTTTTGTTAGTGTTGCATGATGTACAATTAGTTGTTGAAATTTAGCATTCTTAACAACTTGCATGACATTTCATACAAACAGCTACACCAGTGTCTGAAAAAGATGGTTAACATTTACAAGTATTAGTAACAGCATCAAACTTTCTATTTGTATTTAAAGGACAACTCAAACAATAATTAGAATTATTCTGACAAGTTTTACATCTATATGAACATTATTAACATGTTCCATTTACTCCATCATCAAAATATCCTTCTTTACAAGTACATGTTTTATTGAATGAATCATAAAGTCGATTAGAAGTCAAATCACAACTTAAACATTAATTACTCTAAACACTGCAAGTCTTACATTAATAATCACAAGGAGGACAAGTAGCTGAATCTAAAGTATCTTTAAAAAATCCATCTTTGCATTCACAACTTGTACCAACTAAATATCTATTCTAAACATCTTGGCAATCGATACATTAATTTCTAGCTGTCCCAGTACAATTTTTACAATAAATTGAACATTGTTAACAATCCCAAAGTAGATTTACATGATAATAATGAGTATCACAACTACACACATTATTAGACAATGTTCTATGTGAATTAACTTTACAATCAGTGCATTTAGTTGGAATATCTACACATTTATAACAAGTATAATCACAAGGTTAACATAAAGAATTAGCACCATCATCATAATATCCAGCATCACATGGACATGTATTATCTGCCTATTGAGTTCTAAATACAGATAAAACACAAGCTTAACAGATCTTACCTGCTTAATTACATTTACTACAACTATGATCACATTTTGCACAAATTGAATTGCTTCCATCATCATAATATCCATCATTACAATTACATAGAAAATTTACATTATCCCAAGTCCTATGATGTAGAATGTCACATTCAGTACATTTTTCAGCTAATGTATTACATTTTCCACAAGAATAGTGACATAAACTACATAAAATAACTCCTAATTCAAAATAACCTTTCTTGCATTCACAAGTATAAGAAACCAAGTCTAATACTCTATTTGAATTCAATGGGCAACTTATACATTATGTTTTAGTAAATTAACATGTTAGACATTTGTAATCACAAGGTTAGCAATCAAGTAATCCAAATGATGTATCTGCTGGTGGATAATATCCATCTTAGCATCTACAATTATTTTCCTTTTATCTATATCTACCCCAACATTTACATTAATCATTTTATACTGAATTCAATATTTATTCATAAATCTACTGACTAAATGATTAAATTTTATTTTATGTAGTAGGTATCTCTCCAAAATCAGCTAAAAGCATATATATTAACATAATGTTATTTTTTTAATTTATCTTGTATTTTAGATTTTAGAGAGGAGCAGTCAACTACATATCAATTGCATCAAAATCTGAATTCAAAGGTCGAAGGAAGCATTCATAAGTATTAGGGAAAATCTGCGTATCGTATGTTGTAACACAGATAGAATTATATACTATACCATAATTACTTAAATAGTAGGAAATAGTCTTCATCTACCCTCGATTATTAGTAGCAAGCTTATTATCAATAATAATCTCATCAATATTTGTTTCAATTAAAGTTACTGATAACATATTCTTAATATATTAGTAGATTTATGATTAAGCACCAAAAAATGTAGGTGTTATCATTTAAACTTCTTGTTATCCAGCTTTTGGGGCAAATACATATTCATTTGGCTATGCTGAAGATGTCAATCTCCCAATTTCTAAAGCATCATATTAAAAATAGTAATCCTTAACTGTAGGCTATACAGAATTTATAATTTGACCACTTATTATAGTATTCAAATTATTTTTATTATTTTTGAGAATAGTAACAGCATTATCAAAATTAAAGTAATTACACTTCTTACCATTCATATTTTAAACATCAGTAACTAAATTTTATGATACATCAAATTCATTGCTCATAGATGTCTTATATCCATTTCTATATGTATCACATTATAGATCATCATTGTAAGTCAAACACTAAAAATCAAAGCCAAAAAATCCAGTCGATTTTAATATTCCTTAATAGATATCCTATATTATTGCATTAGTATTCAAATTATTAGAACTTTTAGATACTACCATTAAATAATACAATTATCTGACTTTTTAAATATTGGCTATCTTCACTTCAGTACTACTTTGTTATAATGCAATAGAGCTATCATATTCATTCAAATTTATAATAAATATTTAATATATTTAGAATTCAGTCCTCTTACACTAACTTATATATGCATATATATCATAATATATATATTCTGATTATGAACAAGACACAAATGTATCTGTTGAAGTAATTGAAATTGATATGTATTGAATATTGTTTAATTATGCTCCTAAAATAAATTTATCATTAGCTTATGTAAAGTATTTAGTTAATTTACCAAAGGCAGAATCTCCATTTACTAAATATCCATTAGTATATATAATATTTTATTTGAGATTTGTGCTAATCTTATGTGAAACATCAAAAGGATATTTACTATTTATTGCATTTGTTCCTGTATTTATATAATACCCTCCTATTTATTCAGTTAATGCTTCAAATGTCCCAGTAATTGATAAAGGATACAACTTCCAATATTGATTTATAAATCGTAAAGGTGTTCTAGTAGATAATTCAATTGATAATATTAACAATTAAATGTATTATTCAAAAATGGTTTGATATGAATTATTTATTATAGTATCATCAAAGGCCATAATTGCAAAATTAATTTATTATACATTAGCTCCACTCACTGTTATCAAAACATTATTAGCATCTTAAACTACATTGAATGTATGTCCTTAATTATAACCAAATATTAATGTCTTAACAGATGTTGTACCATAAATATCAACCATATATCCAATAAATTAACCATAATTACTTGAATAAGTAAGTTATTAATTATTAATTTAATATCCACTAGTAATAAAATGTTAAATAGTAAATTGATTGAATGTAAATTATGTTTACATTTGTAATCCAAATACTAATATTTCTGGAAATTAAACAGTAAAATATGAAAATCCATTACTATCATATTATATAGAAGCTGTTTAATAATTGATATTTACATTATTTAATTAAATTAATGCACTATTTGCAGTNCATCAAATTCATTGCTCATAGATGTCTTATATCCATTTCTATATGTATCACATTATAGATCATCATTGTAAGTCAAACACTAAAAATCAAAGCCAAAAAATCCAGTCGATTTTAATATTCCTTAATAGATATCCTATATTATTGCATTAGTATTCAAATTATTAGAACTTTTAGATACTACCATTAAATAATACAATTATCTGACTTTTTAAATATTGGCTATCTTCACTTCAGTACTACTTTGTTATAATGCAATAGAGCTATCATATTCATTCAAATTTATAATAAATATTTAATATATTTAGAATTCAGTCCTCTTACACTAACTTATATATGCATATATATCATAATATATATATTCTGATTATGAACAAGACACAAATGTATCTGTTGAAGTAATTGAAATTGATATGTATTGAATATTGTTTAATTATGCTCCTAAAATAAATTTATCATTAGCTTATGTAAAGTATTTAGTTAATTTACCAAAGGCAGAATCTCCATTTACTAAATATCCATTAGTATATATAATATTTTATTTGAGATTTGTGCTAATCTTATGTGAAACATCAAAAGGATATTTACTATTTATTGCATTTGTTCCTGTATTTATATAATACCCTCCTATTTATTCAGTTAATGCTTCAAATGTCCCAGTAATTGATAAAGGATACAACTTCCAATATTGATTTATAAATCGTAAAGGTGTTCTAGTAGATAATTCAATTGATAATATTAACAATTAAATGTATTATTCAAAAATGGTTTGATATGAATTATTCATTATTGTATCATCAAAGGCCATAATTGCAAAATTAATTTATTATACATTAGCTCCACTCACTGTTATCAAAACATTATTAGCATTTTAAATTACATTGAATGTATGTCCTTAATTATAACCAAATATTAATGTCTTAACAGATGTTGTACCATAAATATCAACCATATATCCAATAAATTAACCATAATTACTTGAATAAGTAAGTTATTAATTATTAATTTAATATCCACTAGTAATAAAATGTTAAATAGTAAATTGATTGAATGTAAATTATGTTTACATTTGTAATCCAAATACTAATATTTCTGGAAATTAAACAGTAAAATATGAAAATCCATTACTATCATATTATATAGAAGCTGTTTAATAATTGATATTTATATTATTTAATTAAATTAATGCACTATTTGCAGTAAATTTACTTGAAGAGAATGCTGTAGCAATATAATTGGATCCATCAGTCACTTTTAATGGTAATAAATTAGTTGGTATAGCTTCAAGTAAAAATTGATGATTTTCCCAAAATGTTTATTTAACATTTTTAAGATATGGGATGCATTCAAATGCTCTACCTTACCAATATAATTGACCAATATAATTTGATATAGTTATTATTTATGAATTTGTAGCAGCATTAAAAGTAGTACTACTAACATAAAATTCTGTTAATAAAATTACTTATTAAGCAGAACTGAATTCAATATTTAATTAATATATTGTACTTATAATAGAACTTGAAATTGTTGGAGGATTGTTAATATTGTAAGTAAATACTAATACAACAGTATATGAATCATCTATATTGAATGTTATTATTTATTAATTTAGAGTTGATTTAGGTACAGCATTACTTTGAATATTTTCATTATTTGCAATTGTAGCAAATTAGTATCTCATTCTTAAATTTAAAATTGTAGCATCTTTTTAAAAGAGTAAATATCTAGCATTATCATTAATAAAATGGAAATAAGAGGCTTAATCACCGAAAGGACTTTATTCAATTTGAAATTGTTATGTTTTGAACATCAGAGCATTATAGTTATTTTTATCAGTTGAAATAATGCCTTATTATAATGTACTTTTAAGAGAACAAGAAATAGAGGAATCAATAGTAGTATCCATCACTATAGTAGCAGGAGATAATGAATTTGCATTTAATTTTGATAATAGAACATTAGAACTTGGAGATAGTAAAGATGCAGCTAATTTTCCAAAGTTAATATCTTAACAAGAAGCTCTACATATTCTTGAATTATCAGGTAAAGCACAAACACATCTTCCATTTAATAAAACTCTATTGCTATTACAAGTTAAACAGGTGTTTAAATTACAAGTTGCACAATCAATAGGGCATTATTAAACACATTATCCTAATGAATTCATTTCAAATCCTTATTTACAAAAACAAGCAAATCCATTTCTAAATGTAAGTGAATCATATTTAGTTGTATCACATGTTAGACATGAATATGAATTATTACATGTCAAACATGTTTAATGACATTTAATACAAACAGCATTGAATTCAAAGTATCCATCATCACAAATACATTAATAATTTGAGTAATGTCTATTTAGACCTGGTAAACATGTTTTACATTTTGTACCATCAGTATTCATATGACATTATTCACATGGACTTGTACAAGATTTACAATCTTAATCATTTGTCATATTATCATAATAGTTATCTTGACATATACAAGTATTACCAATAGGAATACGATGTTTTAGAGGATTACAAAGATGACATTCAGTTTCAAAATTATAACATTTTTAACAAGTGTAATTACATTAACTACAAATAACATTTGTACCAACTTAATAATATCCATCTTAACATATGCAAAGTTATGATTCAACAATTCTGAATGATCCAGGAGGGCAAGTTGTACATTCAGTACCAGTTCCATAATCAGCACAATCATAACAGGGAGGAGTACATTAAGTACAAGCTAAAACTCCAGTTTTTTCATAGTATCCATCTAGACAATTGCAAATATGATTGGTTTCATCAATAATTCTATTAAGTCCATCTTAACAAGTAACACATTATGTTCCATCTGCTGGGAGAGCAAGTGTATCATCTAAACATTCTAAACAAGGACTAATACAAGTCAAACATATGAATGATGATAATTATGAATAGTAATTGTTAATACAAATACATTTTTTATTGGTATCGACAGTTCTGTTATCTCCTGCTTTACATTAAATACATTATGTTCCATCTCCATCATCTTCACATTCATAACAAGGATCAACACATTTAATACAGGGATTTGTATTATCAAGTTAGTAATAATCAATTTTACAGACACATACTTGATTTAATACTTCTCTATTTTAATTAGATAGGCATGTTTTACACTTTGTACCATCATTAGGAGCACATTCATCACATGGTTAAACACAAGGTAAGCATAATAATTAACCAGTTGGTTAATAATATTTAGTTATACAACTGAAACATTTATCAGGGTAAAATTTACAAGTGGCACAAGGTGATGTGCATGGTTAACAAACTTTTGGAGATACAGTTGTTTCATAATATCCAGATTAACACACACAAGCATTAGAACTTAATACTCTATAAATACCAGTAATACAAGAGAGACAACGTGTGTTTGTAATTTCACAAGTTAAACATGGAGATTAACATGGTTAACATACTATATCTGTTCCAAAATATCCATCAAGACATTAACATTTTTTAGTACTATCTCTATTAGAATTAGGTTTACAAACATCACAATCAATATCACTTGTAATACATGATACACAATATGATGCACATGGTTAACAAGTTAAAAAGCCAGCTTCAAAATATCCTTATTTACAAACACATATATTTCCACTTAAATATCTATTGAATACAGCTTTACAAGAAGTACATTGAGTTCCATTATAATCAATTCCATTTGAATCTTTTCCACTAAAACAATTTTCACATGGTTCAACACATTAAGTACATATTTATTATGAATCTGTATAGTAATAACCACTAGAACATACACATTAGTTATTATCTAATACCCTTAAATTAACAACTTCATCACATGATAAACAATGAGTAGATGTTGTTTCACATGTTAAACAATTCCAATGACAAGGTTAACATACATTTGAATCTAAATAAAATTTATCATAACAACTAGTGCATTTAGTATCTTAATCTATACAAGTTTTGCAATTACCATCACATGGTAAACATTCATAATCTCCATTATTTTAATCAAAAAAATTTGGTTAACAAATACATAGATTATTATCTAAATCTCTATTATCACTTGGTAAACAACTTAAACAATATGTTGCAGTTGTCTCACAAGTCAAACAAGGATTTGTACATGGATCACAACTTGAACCATTTAAATAATATTCAGTAACACAACTATCACATAAAATATCTGTTTAACAATTTTCACAAGGAGATACACATAATTCACAAGTTTTATCAGATCCACTTGTTTATAAATACTTTCCTAATATACATGATGTACATTCAGTATTTAATGGACCTGTACATTCAAAACAATTTGAATCACATTCTTAACAAGTCTGTAATCCATCTAAATAATAACTACTTTAACAATTAGTGCAAATTTCTTAATCTGAAGGAGATTAACAAACAATACATGGAGAATTACATTATTTACAAATTCCATATGAGTTTGTTATGTTGTCTAAGTAATATCCAGTATAGCATGTTTGACAATTTGTTATAGTTGTCAAACATGTTTCACAATTTGAATCACAATCAATTTAACATTTATTTGTAGTTTCATTTAAATACATGTTTGTATCACAAGTCAAACAAAAATTGCTAAAGTCTTAACAAGTAATACAATCCTCAGTACAAGTAGAAATACAAGTTGAATCATTTGGATTGATATAAACAGGACATGTATCCACACAATTTATACCATCCTTCAATTTTGGGAAATCACATGTGATACATGTACTAGTTACTTAATCTAAGTACAGATTTTGATCAGTATCACAATTAATACAAGTAATTGAACTTCCAGAGCATTCTTTACAATTTGGATCACAATTTAAACAATCACTTCCTTATAGATAATAACTGATTGCGCAAGTGTCGCAAGTCGTTCCTGTAGTACAAGTTTCACATTAAGGTTAGCAATCTAAACAGCCACCCAATCCATCATCATACTTTTTCGAAGCACATTAAGAGTATGCAAAAGGAATAATTTACATGAGACCAAACAACCAAATTTACATGATTCTGATTATAAGTAAATTTTGTTTGATATAAATTAAATTTTAAATAAAATGCATCCAAATTATCGAGGCTATCATGAGTATATTCTGAGTCTATTTTCAAACTAAAATCTTAATCAAGGAAATATTATTTTGCTTTCTACATTACAATAAATACTCCATTTAATATATTAAGGTCTCATGATTCTTAGATTATAATCTATTCAAACGTGGAAGAGATATATAATTATGTTATAGTTTTAGAATTCTTTGAATATGATTAAGGTACCAAATTGGATGTTTGATATAATAGGCTTGTTTTTTGATTACTGCAATTTTCATATTTTTCCTAAAAAAAAAAGGAATAGAAACAGGAACAATCTTTATAATTTAGCCACATGAAATAGTTATATTGATTTACCAGATTAAAGAGATATATTAGAGAATCATCTTAGGTATTTTATCTGTTTTACTGTAAGTGAATTAATTTCTATCTATTTCCACAACACTAATTATTTAATAGATATTGTGTTTGTATTAATGAAGCTGATATTAAAATTGATCTCATCAATGAAGGAAATCAATTTAATTGATATTTATATAAATTTGGAGAAACAGGAACTTAAAATAAAAAGATAGATTGATATTAATATAATATATTGAAGAATGAAAATATAAACTATAAATGTTAATCTTAACATTCTTATAATAATCTCATTAACATTCATGATTCTTTATTTCCATTAAATAATTTACTCTTGAAATAGCATTTTACTTTATTTTGAACCTGCATATATATATATATATAATTGAATTTCTGATTAAAGTATTTAATTTAGTGTATCCTCAAAAAATGATTTCTTATAAAATATGATTATATAATTATCATTCATTAGTTGGCTGATGACATTATTGCTTATTTAACACTTTTTGTAGTTGTTATTTTCTAAGTTTAGAAACTAATAAATTATAATTAATAATATTTACTTTTTGTCTGGACTAAGATAATTAGAAACTTGAGGTTATGGACTTTGCATTCTCTAAGAAAAATGAGATTGCTTAAATTCATTCTATGATTGCAATCTATATTAATCATATTATTAATTTTAGGAAAAGGAAACTTAATTTATTTAATTAATTCCAGATTATCTAGTTACTATACCATTACCTTAAACATTTTAAACATTAGTTGTAGTAGTGATTATGTTGGTTTTCAATTAAGAATTTGTTTATCCAAATTATTAATTAATAATAAATTAATCACTAGGTTTTTCAATTATAATTTATTTTTTAGTTTTAGAATCTAATCTAGATTTTTCTTATTGTAATATATGTAATTTTGATTCATAATCAGTGATATTAGTAATCAATACTTAAATTTTATTTTCTTATTCTTATCTAATATTTCTCTATCTATCAATCTCAACATTTAGAGTTTAATTTTCATTTTCTAATTAGGTTATTCTAAATTACAATTATTTCACTTAATCTAAATTCACATTAAATTATTGAGATTTAATTTAAGTAATTTCAATTTTAGATTAATTAAATTATTGTTCTAATTATTAATATCTTTATTTATATTGNCCAAATTGGATGTTTGATATAATAGGCTTGTTTTTTGATTACTGCAATTTTCATATTTTTCCTAAAAAAAAAAGGAATAGAAACAGGAACAATCTTTATAATTTAGCCACATGAAATAGTTATATTGATTTACCAGATTAAAGAGATATATTAGAGAATCATCTTAGGTATTTTATCTGTTTTACTGTAAGTGAATTAATTTCTATCTATTTCCACAACACTAATTATTTAATAGATATTGTGTTTGTATTAATGAAGCTGATATTAAAATTGATCTCATCAATGAAGGAAATCAATTTAATTGATATTTATATAAATTTGGAGAAACAGGAACTTAAAATAAAAAGATAGATTGATATTAATATAATATATTGAAGAATGAAAATATAAACTATAAATGTTAATCTTAACATTCTTATAATAATCTCATTAACATTCATGATTCTTTATTTCCATTAAATAATTTACTCTTGAAATAGCATTTTACTTTATTTTGAACCTGCATATATATATATATATAATTGAATTTCTGATTAAAGTATTTAATTTAGTGTATCCTCAAAAAATGATTTCTTATAAAATATGATTATATAATTATCATTCATTAGTTGGCTGATGACATTATTGCTTATTTAACACTTTTTGTAGTTGTTATTTTCTAAGTTTAGAAACTAATAAATTATAATTAATAATATTTACTTTTTGTCTGGACTAAGATAATTAGAAACTTGAGGTTATGGACTTTGCATTCTCTAAGAAAAATGAGATTGCTTAAATTCATTCTATGATTGCAATCTATATTAATCATATTATTAATTTTAGGAAAAGGAAACTTAATTTATTTAATTAATTCCAGATTATCTAGTTACTATACCATTACCTTAAACATTTTAAACATTAGTTGTAGTAGTGATTATGTTGGTTTTCAATTAAGAATTTGTTTATCCAAATTATTAATTAATAATAAATTAATCACTAGGTTTTTCAATTATAATTTATTTTTTAGTTTTAGAATCTAATCTAGATTTTTCTTATTGTAATATATGTAATTTTGATTCATAATCAGTGATATTAGTAATCAATACTTAAATTTTATTTTCTTATTCTTATCTAATATTTCTCTATCTATCAATCTCAACATTTAGAGTTTAATTTTCATTTTCTAATTAGGTTATTCTAAATTACAATTATTTCACTTAATCTAAATTCACATTAAATTATTGAGATTTAATTTAAGTAATTTCAATTTTAGATTAATTAAATTATTGTTCTAATTATTAATATCTTTATTTATATTGATTCAATTCCTATTATAATGATTTCAATTGATATTATAGATTTTGAGATTCAGCTGAACTTTATGTTTATAATTTATTTTCTAAATTTTATCTCTCAATCATTAATCTGGAAATGAACTATTATTCCAATTCATTTTTAATTCGAATTTCATGATTTCTCAAATCCATTTAAAATTAATTTATTTTTTAATTTTTTTATTGACACTCAAAATCCAATTCTCTTATTCTAGCCATTAATTTTTCAATTTCTCCTATATTTTATTTATTCATTTCACTTTCCCTTTAAATCATAACATACTTTTAATTTGATTATTCAATATCTATTCGATATTTTTAAATTTATTCTTTCAAAATTGAAATATCTTAATTCAATTATATATTGGTTTATTTTTATGATTATAATTAATCCCTTAAATTTTAAGTTTCAAATTAACTTTCTCTAGTTGTCTTCTCTTTTACAATCATTATTTCATTATTTTATTCCTTATATCTCTATTGCAATTAATCATATTAAGTTTTTAATTAATTATATTTATTTTATAATTATTAAATTTCTATTAAACTTGAGCTATTAACTTTTTATTCAATCTATTGCATTTCAAGTTTTAATCTCTCTTTAAATTATTATTCCAATTAGTTTTCTTAATTTGATAATTAATTTCTTAATTATTAAATTTATTACTCATACTATTAAATTCGAGATTTCAATATATCAATTTCTTTAGTATTTGTTTAAGAAAACTTGATTTCACTTTCTCTCTAAAATTGAATATAGTTTTAATTTAGTGAATCATAATCATTTCTATACTTCCTTATTTACTCACTTAATTATTTAATTTCATTTAATGATTAATTATATCTGTCTTAAAGTGCTTAATAATCATTTTGAATATTCTTTTATTAATAAGAATTATTCTCAATTTATTATTTCTATTGTTTTAATTGTATATTTTCTTATTATATCAAATTATATTAAGATTACAATTTTTAATAGTCATCTCTAATGCTAATTAATTAAAATTAAGATTATTATTATTATTATGAATTTTAAAATTGAATTTGCATTTAAGAGTATTAACTTTAAAGAGATTAGTATTGATTTGTAGAATTTCTTAGTTATTATTCTAATTCAATGATTCTTTACTTTAAAGTATCTACTTCATAAGAATTACTTTTGTATTATTCACTTTACCTTTAAATATTCATATAATCATTTGATAATCTTTAATAATCAAGTCTATATTTTTCTCTTTCTTCTTTTAATTTATTAATTTCATTTTAATATTATCCTTAACTTTAATTCTTTATCATTCTAATTTCCTCTTCATATTAACTTTATGTTATACTAATCCTTTAATCTCTTTCTTATAGATCAGCAATCAAAATCTAAATATCTGATTCCATTTCTGCTATCTTTCTTTTCAAACTCTCAACTTCTCCTGAATCTATTCTTCTACTTTCATAATCTACTCTATATGCATCAAAATCTTTTCTCTATTTATCAATTTCTAATCTTAATTAATCTATTTAAATTTCATATTATTTTATTCTATCTTATAAAAATAAAATCTAATTGTCCTTTTATATTACTTTTTATTCCTAAGCATATGATTACTCTTAAATTTATTTGGCTTTATAACGATCTTACCAGACTAATACTTCATGTTATAATGCAGAAATTCTTTTTAAATATCCTTCAATCTCACTATTTTAATTTTTTGAACTAAATCTAAATTACGATTATTATATTTCTTAAATGTAAGAATCGCAATTAAAATTTAATCTTTAAATTTCTTGTTATAATTCTGCTATTCGATCTTCCTAAACTTTAACTTTTCTTTTTAAATCATCTCTCTCATTTTAATATATTTTAGATTAATCAGTATCTTAATTTTAAGTATTTCTAAAAGTACTCTACTACCATTAAATTTAAGATTACTGAAATTACTAATTAAGTAAATTCTTAGCTTTTATAATATCTTCATTTTCTTAAGTAAGTACTTTAATTTACTACTTCAATTAATTGATTTCCTAAAAATTATTACTCTAAGGTATAAATTAATTTAAAGATTATTTAGATCTAAGTTATTCTTCTAAAGATTTGATTTATTATTTCAATTAATTAACTTCAAAATCATTTGAAATTACACTTAAATTTCTCTCTATTTTAAATTTATATTCATTATTCTCCTGCCTTAATTTATTGAGTTCCTCTCTTAATTATTATAATTCTAAATCATTTGATGTATATCCAATAGTTTTTATTCGACTTTAACCTTTATCAGATTATAATTATCTATATTTATTTTTCCACATTTCCAATTCCTTCAATTAATCTTATATTTGATTGTTTAACGACTTTATACTTTCTCTAAGATTTGTTATTTCTAAATCATAAATAATATATTTACCTCTATCTTTTGCTTCTATAATATTCTGAAAAGATGCTTAATCATTTATAATAGTTTATTCTATAATTGGAGGACTAACTTTAATTCGATACTCTTCATTCCTATAATATATCTTTATAATTCACCTTATTAATGTGTTTCCATATTTTTATAAACTTTTTTATGATGTTAATCCTTCTCCTCTTTATTCTATAGTTTCTATTTTATAATTTGTAAATCCACTCATTTTTTTTGTTATGTCGTATAATATATGTGTAAATAAATTATATTAATAATTTAATAGAAATATTATTCATTCTATTTTAGATATTTTGCTTATATTGATTTCAGACTTTAACAAATCATTTGTTCTATTATTTTGAATAATTGAATCAGATTAATATGGCTTATTCACAAATTAAGTAGTACTTTTACTCTTTACTGATGGAAAATGAGTATTCATCATTGGAGAATTAGGTCCCTTAGATTTAATCTACTTAAATAAGTTTTTAATACTCGAGTCATGTGATCACGAAGTTTTTCATATTTCGATATTTGTTCTTATTACTTTTCTAATAAAATTTATTTTGTTAATTCAAGTCTTTTTTGTAATTCTTAATTTTCTTCTTCAATCTTTTATTACTATTTCCTTCTTAAAGGAGAATGAAGTCTTTTACCCAAAGTGTTTTCACACCATTGAGAAGTGTCAGCCTAAAAAGTCTCTTGAAATCCATTACATATGCTTTCTCTCTCAAATTTTATACTGTCCAAATTGATCTAAATTAAGAGTTCTTACCTTCTTATATTTCAATTATATGAGAACTGAGATATTAATTTTATTCATCAATTCTTTTTCTTTATTCTGATTTTTAAAATCTAGAAGATTATGCTTTTAATTATTATGTTTTACTAAGAATAGGCAAATCCTTAAAAGCATATCTTGCTTTCTTACTATTAGCCATACAAGATAATCATTACTCCGTTTAAATTTCATCTAATTTCCTTTTATGGTAATCATAGTTTTGATTTCTAAGCATTTTCTATACTAAGTTGGTCTCTACAAATCTTGCACCTTACATAAGTTATATATATATATATTTTATTAATTGTTTTTAATAAATATTTAATACCCTACATATTAAACATACACAAATATTATTTATTTTAAATGCCTAAGTTTTATTGTGAATATTGCGGAATTTATCTCACACATTCATCTCCAAGTGGAAGAAAACAACATTCACTTGGAAAAAAACACATAAGTGCTAGAGAAGATTATTATAGAGCTGTAATGAGTGATTTAGTAGATTAATTGAAAGCATCCTTTTAAAAGAATATAATCCCAACCTTTATCTCTAAAGACACAATCAAAAGATTACTCATTACACATTCTTCAGTGTTTTAAGGCTTACTCACTCCTGCGTTTGTAGAAACTATTGATAGTTTAGGATTGAGTGGCACAAGAACATAATATATGCCCTAACCTACTTTGATTCTCCCACCTTAAGGAGCTTATTAGCCAATGTCTTACAATATGATGCCTCCAGGAATGCAAATGAGATATTGAAATCAAAATTGTTAACAATTATTTCAAATTTGCTTCTACCTTTCTAATTTTTATCAACAATCAACCATCTGATGTTGTAACAATTTAATTTTGATAATTCCATATAAGAAAATAAAAATCTAGAACTTTTATTTTTCTAGATTGTTTGCAAATCTTTTCTTAATTTTATGGTTCTATTTATACTAAAATTCATACCATAAATTTTTTTATAGTTAGCTTCTTAAACAATTATTTAATAATTTATATTTTAAAGATTAATATTCCATTTTTAATATTAGACATTAAGCAAAAATATTAATGTAAAAAAAAACAAAATATTATTAATTTAACTTCATTATTTATATAAAATTTATTTAATTCTGGAAGAAAAATAACAATAATAAATAAATTAATAATAGAGAAGCAAAAATTAGTTCAATATACTCAAACTTATATTTTTTATTATTTGAGAAAAGAATGTAAAATTTATTGTAAGATCGAATTTTCTTATCAATTACTGTAATTTTTAAGTAAAAATAATAATTTGAGATAAAAAATCATAAATAGAAAGAATAAATGATTTAATAGATAATAATAATTTAATTCAATTTTGTAGGATTGACATTTATAATTCTTCAATTTCCATGAAAGTGATTTGAATTAATGATTCCCAATTAGAAAACAATTATTTATTTATAATTTATGATGATTTATCAATTATTATTTGTAGGATTTATTTTAAACATGATAATATGATTTGTTAATTTTTGTTTAGAGTTTCAGTAAGAAGTGAGTATTTTAATGATTACATTTAAAACAAAAAACATATAAATTCATAAGTAAATTGATGAGATTCTTGTTGGAGATTATGAATATTTCAATATAGAGGTTGATCTCTTTCTTTGTTCATTTCTAAGACTAGGATTTACCCATTCAGTATTAGGTTATCCTTTCAATTTTGAAATTGTCTTTGTGATCATAGTAACACTCTAACATGGTTTGTAAGTACACACAATGAGATTATCATTAAATGATATTTTAGATTGATCCAAATCTAAATCATCTGGTTCATCTTCAATAATTTCCATTTTATGATGAATACTTAATGGAGTCATTGGAGTCAACTTGAATCCAGGAGATTGAGAAATCATTACTAATAATTTTTAATTGCTAGATTTGAAATATTAAAACGATAGCTATTAATGATTATATTAATGCGTAGTAAATAATAACTTGATTTTTATTATAATCATAATTATTTAGTAAATAATATTTACCATACTATTTGTTAGAGTAGATCTTCATTAAGTGAGAAAATTGTCTTTGATAACTCTCTGATTGGTAGTTATAAATAAATCTAAAGAGTTAGTGGAGATTCTTCATTAAGCAAAAGTAAAAAGTAACGAAAATCACTGGTTGTCCATTTTTAATCTATATAAAATGTTTTGAATCTCAAGAATGCATTCCAATATACTTTATTGAGTGTTTCTTAACATTTTGTATCTTAATTAATAAATTTTAATAATGTTTATGTAACACTATTTTGTAGTTATTATAAATTTAGATTCATGCTCTTTAAAATTTTGAACTCAAAATAAAGGACATTTTTTATTAATAATTTAAATTTCTCATTATCATCATTTATTCTAGAGATTTATTATTATAAAGTTAAATTTTTTGAATAATAGATACTGAGTTCACAAAGTAATAAAAATTAAGAAAATACTTCCTTATCAACACTTATATATTCTATTTAGAATAGTCTTTTAAATTTTTCATAAATTTAATCACAAATTTATGGTAATTCCTAAGCTAAATCTATTTTCTTCTCTTTTTAAGCGCTACTAATCTTTTTAATCTATAATTCCTTTGATTTTCCTATATATTAATTGAATAAATACTTTATTTTTAATTTAAGTCTCTTTTTTCATTATTTTATTATTATAAATACTATTTAATCTCTTTATTTTTCTTATGCATACCAATCTAATATACTTTATGATCTATAAGAATATCATCTAAATTAGTATCATTTAATTAGCTTTAAACTTAGGTTCTAAATTATATTACTTTTTCATTTATTTTCTAATCTTTATTTAATTGCTTTTCTATCCTTTATTCAGAAATATAGATAATTTATCGAAATCCTGATTTATGTACTAATTAAAAATCTCCTCCATAAATGTAAAGATTTTCATGCTATTTTTAATGCTGATGCAAAAATTCTGTAATAACTTCATAAACTGTTTTACTATCTGCAGTCACAATATCAATTACTTTTTTGTTTAATGAGAATGTACAATAATGATGTTCAAACATTGAGCTCTATAAATTTATTAAAACATTAGAAATGTAATGAAAAAATTGAGATATCTATTTCTCATTTAAGAAATCTTTGAACTTTAAAAACTATTAGTATTTATGATTTTATGCTATCTCTTTTAAAAAAGCCTCAACATTTCCAATAATTATTATTAATGAACCTGATGGTTCTTTTTAAGGAACTATATTTATAATCTCATTAGATGCAGGTTAAGAGTGTAGTTTCTCTACAATTTTATAAGAATAATGTGAAATGTTTCTTTTTGCCTTCTACTTTACTCCATATTAATCTACGTTAAGGGAAAATGATCTTGGCTTTATTTCAGGTTAAATTATATTAGGGAACATTAAATTAATTAAAATGTAAAATAATAATAGAAATGAAGAAATTATAAAACAATAAATTGAAAATGAAAAACTAGAATAAGAAAACAAGCTTTTGAATCAAGAACTATCTAAAGTCTTTAGCAATTAATAATTTGTTTGTAATTAATAATTATCAATAAAAAGGCTAATAAAGATATGATGATAAAATATTATAGATTTTAATCAAGATGGAGAAGTTTTAATAAAAAGAATCATGTGAATTGAAGTTTCGTCTCTATCAAGATATATAGGTTTTAGAGATCACAGGTCTTATATCAGAAAAAGATTAAGATTAATAAATTTAATACAGTGTCTTTTTCCAAAAAATAAAGTTGTTAGCATAGGTGACTGGCAAACCAAAAATAAATTAGACAGAAAAAAAAATAGAAATTATATTTGATATAAAAAAAAGAACTTGATGGTTTATATGCACTTTGAAAATTATAGAATTTAAAAATGATAGCAATATGGGGTATAAAAAGAAAATGTATTAACTTTTATTATTGATTTCAAATGATCTCTTTAAATTCTTCCTTAAATCTTTTTAATGATTGGGAAACTGTTATTATTCTAATAATTCTTTTCGTAGTACACTGTTTAAATTATTATAGAAAAAATCAATGAAAAACAAACAAAAATTTCTGATGCTATCAAAATTTATTAAATATTAAGCCTTATTATATACTAAACAATTAACGAAGGAAATCAATTCGACTTTTACTTTTTAACTATATTTATAGATGACTGAGGTTTGGTAACTATTTAATTTTTTTGCTTCTAAACAGTAATTTGAGGTTTGCTAGGTTTTGAACACTTAACTACTGGCTAAGATTAATTTTCTTTATTGGATTTTGATTTATTAAGTTTATTTGTTGACTTTGATGCCTCAACGGAATTCAATTTCTGTAGAAGGTTTGTTGTTTCTAATGATGATCTGCATCTAGAAAATGGTTCTTTTGATTTTGAAGTTTATATTAACCTTTTCCCATTGGGAGATTGAGAAACATCTCTAATATTAGGTTCAACTGATTAATTTCGAGTTTAAATTTAATTTTCTTTTGGAGTTGATACTCTTGCTTGAGTTTCAAATTGTTCAGTTCTTGTAGTTTATAACGAATCTATATGTTAGAATGTTTATTGTAATTACAAATTTTACCACTGAGTTTATTTTTAAGGTTATACTTGTAATTTTTATTAATTCTTATTAGATTATTATTGTTATTGTTATTGTTATTATTATTATTATTATTGTTGTTGTTGTTATTATTATTATTATTGTTGTTGTTGTTGTTGTTATTGCTATTGTTATTATTACTATTACTATTATTGTTATTATTATTATTATTGTTATTATTATAGTTATTATTACTATTATTATTACTACTATTATTATTATTATTACGTTTTTTTAGCTATTTAATCTTAATGAAAGTTTAAATTAGATTCATCCAATAATTGTGATTCTTATGGACCTTCATCAAGAGGAACTCTTTACAAATAATCATTCATTATTTCATTTTGAAATAGTTTTGGTTAATGGGGATGATCTTATTGTAATCCAAAAAATGGACTTTGTAGATCTGTTTTATCCTCTGACTTTTCTTTGTCGAAAGAATTTAATGTTTTATTTTGTTAAACAGAATAACTTTCATTTGATGAATATTATTATTAAGAGTGATCAAATTACCTTGGTTGTTATTGTCTGTTTTCAGGAGTTATAAAGAAACCTTTTCCTCTCATTTCAGCTTCATCACTTAAATTAGGTGTCAAGATATCTTAAGATGATGCTGTAATGAAATTTTTTTTAGGATATGGTGTTATAAAATGTTATTGTGGTGTAGATGTAAGCTACTACTATTCCATGAGAGTGGTTTCAATCTTTAATAATGATTCTTTAAGATGTTTGATTTAATTTTAGACCTATTATTTTTATAAAATTTAATACTTCAAACTTTTATTGATTTTCACCACAAAATGTTTCTAATAGGGCTTTTAATTTGCTATTAAGCACTACTTTCATCTACACAAGAAGTTATTATTATTTGAATTTTATTATATGAGTTTCAACTTATTAAGCTATCTTTAATATATCCTTGCCATTATTAACTTAAGCGATAAATTATAATAAGTTATGCAGAGATTCATAAAATTTAGACTTAAAATCCATCACTGATTATTATAATTCCTAAACAACATTATTCTAAATATTACATCAAGTAAACGCTAAGGTTATTAATTGAATTTGACAGCACTTGCAACAATATTGGTTTCAAGTTCATTAAGGGAAACATTAAATAAATCACTTATTTTTTCTGCAGTATTGCTCATAAGTCGTTAATTTTATAATTTATTGAATAATACAACTAAAATATATAAACAAAATTAATATCATATGCAAATTATATTACTCTATATTCAAATCTTTTAATATGAAATACTTAGGTAAGAATCTCAATTATTATGACAGATACCCATAAAACAAAAGAAAAATAAAAAAATTTTATATTCTAAAAATTAAATGATAATAAAATTTTTTAGATGTTCTTTCAAAAATCTACTTATAATATCATAAATTGTATTTTGACATAGCATTGTTTTGATATTTAATATAATAAAATAATCAATTTTATTAACAAATTATAGACATATTTTAAACTCTTTTTTGTAACATTTAAATGCCTTAATATATGTAAATTAACTAATATTTTATGATGGAAATACCTCTACAATAATAATCAAAGGCCTATATTAAATTTAAAATATAAAAACATGATTATTCTTTCATAAACATTTCAACTTAATTTCTAAAAAGTTAAAACAGAGGTAAAAAATATTCACATGATATCTTTTATTCTTTAGAGATTAAGTGGTATTTTTGGATTAATTACAAATTTTTTTGGATAAATGTAAATAGAATTTCTCATTTATTTGATATAACATCAATATAAATATATTATTTTATAAATTCTTTAATTTATCTTTTATTTAATTTGGCTAGAGTTTTTTATAAAAAGGTTGGTTATATTCAATTAATTTTTGTATGATTAGAATTTTATATTGTAAAGCTTCCATTTCTAAATCCTTCAACAACATAAATATATTTTAATCTAAAAGGATTTAATTTATAAGAATTTCATAAATTTCCTTTAAAAATTAATCAAATTCATAATCCTAAATTTCTATCTCTTAAAAAGTTAGGTTGAATTAGTTTAAAAATGGATTTTGATGAACATTTATGATGACTCAAAAATACTTAAGTTTAAGATTAGCATTTTTTAAAATATTAAATAATTTATTTGTCTATTCTACTTCATTAAAATTAATAGTTTTATTGACTAAACGATCAGATATGTATATTTGATTTTAAATAAGGCAACTAATTATATATTTTTAACTTTATTAAGATTCATTGATAGAGATCTGAGTTTGACAGTTTCATTATAAGAAAAATCGTATATGAATAAAAATTAAATCCAGAAATGAAATCAAGTTTTCTATTAATAAGTTTAGAGTATCATTCTATAAATTATCATTATCTAAAAAGTATTCTATTATATTCTTTTTGAATATTAATGTCTGTAATTTATAGTGATATAACTTTAATTTATTATTTTTATTAGTCAATTAAGGTAATTTAGAATATTATCATATAAATTTTATTGTTTCTTCTGATGATATAATCTTAATAATAAAGGATTAGTAGATAATGAAATGATAAGAAATTTTATGGTAACTGTATTGTAAATGCAAAACTTCTTTTGTTAATAATTTTTATGCAAATTATGTAATATTATTAATTATATATATATATATTTATCAAAGTTAATCACATAGTAAATCAAGTTTTTCAAAAATAAACTCCATTTATTCATAATCTCCAATTTCATAACTATATTTTTGCTTTTAGATAAGTTCTTTCATTGCTATGGCTATTTTTTTATATTTTTCATTATTATTAACAGGGGGTAATGAAGTTCTAATAGTTTGATTTGGAGTATTGAATGAAAGTCTTCTTTAATGATCTTATTATGAGTTATTGCTTCTTGAATTATTCGAGATTTCTATTTTTGAATTCGGAGATGTATCAAATCTTATTAAATTAAGATCAGTTGGATTACGTGTATGTTTAGGTAATACAACATTTTATTAATGAGAATTGTAATTCTCCTTATTAGTATTCTTTTAAATTGTCTATGCTAATTATTAGACAGAAGAATCTTTAATTCTATAATTTTTTTGTGATCTTGTTTATTGTGACAAAAATACGTAGTTGGTTTGACAATTGAATAAAATGGTGATTTTTTACTGATTTTAGGATGCTTAGATGGATTGATTAAATCTTGATTATAACAATCCTATCCAAATGTGAATGCTTAATCTAAGTTCATTTAACGAGTAAATAAATTAATTTAAGTTATGATTATCAAATAAATTAATAATAAAAGACAACATAAAATAATTAATTGAAATAAAAATAATATTTATTAGAATTTTTTGTTTATTTTTTAATAGATATATTGGACATTAAAGAGATGATAATAATTAATTATCATTAAATTGAATTAAAATGATCACGATATTTTTTTATCAATTTCTTAATTTCATTTTTGCTAGCTGTTTTAGTCATAGCTGGTTTTAATTTTAACTTCATATTACATTCAGAGAATGTTAAAATTTCAATTTTATTTGGTTCCACTTATTTTATGAAATTACCACTTAATAATAGAATAGCTCTAGTTGTTGATTTATTTGTTGGAACACTATATTAAAATATAGATATACTATGGTTAAAAGTCTTAATTTTCAAATGATTTACTAATTTCAATCACAGTATCATCATCAATAAATTTTGTATATTTGATATATAGAAAATCTCTTGGATCCATAAAAAGTATTTTCTTATATCTCAAGTAATTGATTTGTAATCTTTCATCTGAATAATGAGATTCAAACTAATCCACAGAAGAATCTAATTACTTTTATAGTTATAAGTCTCTCATAAATGAAATATAATTTTAAATTGTTGTGTTGAGTGTGAACTTATATCTCATTTAAGCAATTTAAAACTTTTCTGGTGTTTCATAATATCTAATCCAAAAAGCAAATTCATCTTGGTTATTTTCAAGTAGTTCATAGTTTTCACAATCTTCAAGTTAAGTTTTAAATATTTCTATAGCTTAGATACCAATTTCTGTTAGCATTTCAACATTTTTTACATCTAAGTTAGGAATATTCTGAATGAACTCTCTTGCTTTACTTAAATCAATTTGATTATGTTGAATATCAAAATCATTAGATTTTTCCAATAACTTCTAATTTTATGATTAAACTTTTGTTTCTAGATCTTATGTAGCTAATTCAGTTTCATAATCTAATTTATAAGTGATATTTTGTTTACTTTCATTTTTTAGTTCTACCTTCAAATTATTTTTAATCTCTTAATCTGGATTCAACTCAACCTAACTAAACTATGACATCTAATAATTCTGATCTGAACTTTTGATTTTTGAATATTGAAAAATAGATATGCATTTACTTAGCAAATGCTTTATCCATTAGATGCATTTATTCATATAATAATATTATGTGGAAATAATTCAAAAATATCATTTTAGATTAAAGAGTAGCTTCTAAATATACAGAAATTCAAAATGCTAAATTATTCATTTCTAATTCAATTGAATTTAACTTCAATATCACATATGATATTAATGCCATTTCAAAATTTAGTTATGTATAAAAAAAAGCATAACATTCCAAAAATCCAATATTGATTATAGGTAAGTCACATCCAATTTAGAATTCATTAACATTATTTGAATATACAACACTATATCCTCAATTACTTGGATTATATCATAATAAAATTCATACTGAAACAACAGTCAATGAATAAACATTATTAAAAAAAGGAATCAATATTCCTTTAACAGATGATCCTCATTAAATTAGTGGGATATATGTTGTAGGATTAGAGAAGAATTGGGAAATTTAAGCTCAAGTAACAACTTATAAAAAATAAAGGTTATTTGTGATCTTTTGAGCACAGAAAATGGACTTATTAATGATAAATTTCATTAAGTAGATTAACACATTCCACTTGAATATTTTTACAATATTGGAGATAAGAATATGGAGAATCAATAATTGGCAATAGAATCTACTTATAAATTAATATATGGTTAGGATGTAAAGATGTCTAGAGTAATTTCTGACTTTGATATTCTGATTGATTATGCAAAATCCATTAAAGATACTCTTCTATATATAAATGAAGATTCAAGTTTTATTGTTAATGAAAAATAAATAGAGAAAATATGAATTATAAATACATTATAATTTTTATATATATAAAATTTATACAATCTTCATAAAATAAAAAGCAAATGAAAATGAAAAATAAGATTGTTTCACTTTTTATTAAAAGAGAACATTTAATTCTCTTGTCTAAAATGTAACTCAATGAATAAAATGAGCTCATTTTGGAAATTGACTAAGTTAATTAAAAGGTTGAAAATACTATATTAAAAACAGAAAGATGGCCTTAATTGGATTTAGATTATTTTTAGAATTCTTTTGTCTAAATAGTTAATTTGACATTCACCTATTATAAAATGTATTTTCCTGTTAATTCAGCTTTACAAATTCGAGAACATTTAAAGTTTACTTAAAGTTTAAAGTAAATAAATTATGGAGGAATAACACTTGAAGAAGTCTTTAAATAATAAAGGGTAGAAGTGAATCCCTATAATAGTTACGATTAGTTACCTCTCTATCTACTCGACTCTAAGAAGAACCTTTGTAGCCAAAAATAGTTAATAATAAATAAGATTTTGATTATATCTCACTTCTACAATCAAAGTATTTCAATCTAAGAAATCCAGATTATCAATAACCTTATTTGATTCTCAATCTTAAACTATTTGAAATGAAACCTAACACTCGTCCTTTAAGAGAAATATCAATATTTTCAATATAAGATGTACCATAATTTCAATTAATCAATCCATAATTAATCTAACCAATTATTAATTATGACACTTTATCCAGCACTTATGAATATAAATTTAATAAATTAATGTAAAGAAATTCATAAATTTAATAAACAATCAAAAATTACTATTTATAAATTTAATTATTTGAAGATAAATATTATGAGAATGATAAATTAAAATAATTATTTACATAAAAATTAAGAGAATGTACATTTAATGGAAATTAGATAAAAATTATTAAATAATCTAAAATATAATCTAATTTAAGTTAAATTTAAATAGAAACAGAAAAAATTAGTATATTTAATAGTTTAAATTCAAATGATAGTGAAAGAAATAAATCATTTCAATAATCAATTAAGAGAGCAAATAAAAATGAATCATTTTGTGAATATGAAAAAATAAGAGTTTCAGATAGATAATAAAAATTAAAAAATAGAATAAGAAATTTAAATACAATGATTTTCAATTAAGTTAATAATGTTAGATAAAACTAAATCATACATGAATAAAATGATGATTCACTTAATTTAAAATAAAATAATTAATAAATAATAAAAGATTAATCAAATTTGAGATCTTTGACTTAATATACATTAGAAGATAGTTTTAAAGTTGATACTAATTTGCATTAAAGTTATCAAGCAAATAAAAATCCTATATTGAAACAATTAGATAATCAATTTAAAGATGAAGATAAATAATATTAATTAATTGATTAATTAAGTAGTAGCATAGAGTTTTAAGGTTAGAGAAAGAATTATAAATTTAGAAGATCACAATATGCTCCAGAAAATAGAAAATTAGAAGATGGAATTGTTAATAATAATAATATTTATAATAATACTGAACATATTAAATAAAATAATTATTCAATCAAAAAATAAAATAATAATAAATCTATTGAACGATTAACTTTAAAACCAATAGATTATGTATAAGTATGTTCTGGAGATTAAAAATTATAATAAAATGAACAATTAACATTCCCAAAAAAACAAAAGAGATATTAAACATAAGAGAAAGAAGAATTAGAATTAAATGAGATTTTAAAATGGAAAAAACAAAGTAATTAAAGTTTAAGGAATGCTTTATTATTACTATAATAAGGACGTTCAGAATAACTCTTGACTTCATTGATGGCTAGTGGAACAATTAAACATTAATAATATTAGTCTTTCTTATAACCAATAAAGATATATTCTAAAGCTAAATATTTGACTCCAAAGTGATATATTTACATAAAATCAATGTGCTCATAAATTTTTATTATCTGGATAAAGATATTTAAATATGATATCTGCAGTTTAGAATTAATAGTTTTTTAATGCTACATCCATTGCTGTTTATCCATTATACTATATAATTATGAATAAAAATAATACATTTTGAATTGAAACATCAGCACCATTTTTAATTAAGAATTCTACTATTGAAGCAGCTCCACATTAAGATGCTGAAATTAGCATTGTGTCACCATCATCATTTTAGTAATTTAAATCTATTGATGTTTCTAATTTAAGAATTTCTTTTAAATCTTAAAGTCTATGTTCATAAACCATCAGAAATATTCTTTCATGTAAAGTTTTATCATCATTTTTTGTTTTTTGAATCATCATATTTCTTAATAATAATGATTATGGGTCCATTGATAATTATTTTAGATTATTTTAAATTTAATTCAAATTAATTTTCTAAGTCTATTTATTTATATTTTATTATTCTTTCTCTTTTACTATTGAGAGTTTTTATACTTAAGGAGTTTATTATTGTATTTAAAACTTTGAAGATGTTTATACTTGTAAAAATCTTTATGACTGTTCTAAAATTTAATTAAAAACATTATTTACTTTTAAACATATTTTTAATGAGAACTTATTAATTTTAACGACTATTTTTCTATGTTCTAGAGTCGCTCTAAATTATAAAATATAAATAAATACAAGATTAGAAGGAGATTCTGATCTACTTTTTATAGCAGCAGGAGGTAGAGATAATATCATTAAGTTTGTCTATTATTTTGGTATAGTTTCCATAGTAGTTTCTCTAAAATGTCTAGATTTTAGCATATTGGAATATTTTATAGAAGTATTATCAGTTAAACTATTACTTTATTATTAATAACATAATTTAACAAATGTTTTCTCTTCATTATTAAGTTAATGTTTAAAACAATCTTCAAATAATCCAATACTAATAATTTCAAATTTCTTAAAAAAAGATTTCAGAAATTTTTTTCTATCATTTTTATTAATTCGAAGGAAGAGTCGATTTAGAGCTTCCAAATCTAAGTATATTTATTATTAATTTACGTGGTTGATGCGGTAAATCATAATCTATATGAATGACTTATTCAACTTAATTTGCAAAAGCCATAATTTCTTAATGAAGTAAAACATTTTTT